GTACACACACTCGGCTCCTTCGACCGATATGTGCACGTGTCTCAAGTGCATGGAGAATGTGCTCAAACGTGGTTCCACCTAAAAAATAACTTCTAATTTAGATCGCCAAATTAGTCAGTAGTATACATATAGTGAATGTTTATGAGTGCAATGGTAAGAATAATTTCATCATGAAGTGACAGATGGACTGTTCCATTTCACGAGGTGAGGCCAAGTGGAATGGAACATTCCGTCTGTAAACGAAAAAAAGTATTCTTTTCATTGCATGAAAGTTTCACGTTTGTTATTTTTTTTCGTGCACCGTGTGAATAAATCCTCGTCATCTTATTGTTAATAGTGTAACCGTCCAATGGAACTTTGTTTACCGTGGAACGGAACTTGTATTTTTGCAATGCGGCGGGGCCGTGGGCTAGGACGAATAATTTACTGACATGTGATCAAAGACCCACCAATCAGATGACGAGGATTTATTCAGGCGTTGTTTAATAGAATCTAAAGACTTAATAGTGAGCATTATGTACAGTTAGCGTTCAAATTCTGAATGCTACAATACAGTGTATATTCATGTACATGCATTGTTGAGTTATGAGGATTTCGTTCTTTGTATTAAAATTATGAAAAGTTTGCATGTTGGAGCATATATTCATGTATACTTAATATGTACATATTTTAAATAGGTACTTGTATTTTATCCTTGTCTTATAAATGGAAGGAGAATAAAAGTCTTAAAGGTGCATGACAGCAGATATTGCAAATATATTTTAATAATGGCTTCATATTAATCAAGCTTGACATGATGTTAGTTGAGGCATGTTGAACTTTAAACGTTTATGAGTGGTGTCTTTACATGATAAATTGTTAAAGATGCATGCGTGTAAAGAAGTTCTTTAGATGATTGATTGAGATTAAAGATGTACTGCAGGTTTTACCCCAAACATAAATTTTCTGATTTTTCAATCAATATTATTAAAGGCTATGCACTTTTGAATGAGACATGGAATAATTACCTTGGAAATTTCAAATTATTTGTGGCCCAAGAACAATTCAATTCTCCCAGGTACAATGGTTTTTGCCGCCAGTGTACCTGCAAGGAGGATTGTATGCTCGGGAAAAAACAACAGAATTTAAACCTTTTTTTCAGAGGGTTGCTGACACCAAAAATAGAGGGGAAAACAAATTCGGTTAAAATAAAGGTCAATATTCATTGGGGAAAAAAAAAAGGTTTGTTGAAGAGCAAGGACATTACATCGTAAAAGCCACAAAATTTAAGATATATTTACTGATTGGAAATATTTTTGCAGATTTTGAATGAAAATCTTATAGTATGTTATTAAAAATTAGAGCTAAAGTGAAAAATGTAACAAGTTGGAGAGATTCTGATATTTTTTTGTCGCTATTTGAATAATAAAATCAGAACAAGTTGTCTCAGGTGGTGGTCTTGGACCTCAGGTCTATGTCTTTTGGACCTTCTGGTTTAGGTCTTGGTCATATCTTGTGGTCTTGGTCATATCAAGTGGTCTTGGTCTTGGACCTCAGGTCTATGTCTTTTGGACCTTCTGGTTTAGGTCTTGGTCATATCTTGGCCTTGTGGACCCCAGGTCTAGGTCTTGTGGACCTTAGGTCTAGGCCTTGTGGACCTTAGGTCTAGGCCTTGTGGACCTTCAGGTTTGTTTTGAACCTTCAGGTCTTGGTCTTGACCTTGATGTCTTGGTCTTGTGGATCTTCTGGTCTAAGTCTTAGATTCAGGTCTTAGTTTTGGACCTTTAGGTCTAGGTCTTGTGGACATTCAGGTCAAGGTCTTGTGGACCTTCAGGTCAAGGTCTTGTGGACCTTCAGGTCTAGGTCTTATGGAATTCCTGTCGAGGTCTTGGTCCTTTTTGTCGAGGTTTTGGACCTTCAGGTCCTGGACCTTGACTTTCATTTCTTGGACTTGGACCCCAGTTTTAGGTTTTTTGGAACTTCAGGTTTTGGTCTCGGAACTCAGGTCTAGGTCTTAGACCTTTATGTCTTGGTCTTGTACATCAGGTCTTGATTTTGTGGACCTTCAGGTCTTCACTTTGTTTTGGGCCTGCAGGTCTTTTTCTTGGACCTCAGATCCAAGTCTTCATGTCTCTCCGTTGTATGAGATCCTAAATGTCTTGGTCCTCAGGTCTAGGTCTTGTGTGATCTTCAGGTCTTAGTCTTGTAGACCTTCATGTCTTGGTCTTGGACCTCAGATCTAGGTCTTGTGGGCTTTCAGGTCTTGTTTTTTTACCTTTGGGTCTTGGTCTCCTAACTCAGGTCTTGGTCTTTGACCTTCATGTCTTGGTATTTGGCCTCAGGTCTCGGTATTGTGGGACATTCAGGTCCAGGACTTGTGGACCATCAGGTCTTTGTCTCAGAACTCGGGTAACCATCTAATTCCCCGGTAGAGAAAGGGTAACTTGAGGGGTGAGGTTAACAACGTATTGGAGCTTGGAGTGGGAGGGATGACAACAGGGAGGGGCGACAAAGTGGAGGGGGGCGCACTTTGGGGAATACATGTACAAATGTGTAATAGACAGGAAGGCCGGTCATGTTTGACATCCAAATCTAGATCTTTTATTTCTCGAAAAAGAGCAGACTTACATAATTCCAGACCTTCATAATCAGAGGGGATATTCAAATCCACACGGATCGTTAAATAGTCGACACCGTCATGATCAGAGATATATATTTGAACCACACACACATAAACTACTGCGTCCTTCGAAACAACAGCAAACAAATTCAAGCAAACTTGCTAGTCCGAGAAAGCAAAAGTTAAAATGAAACAAAAAAGCAGCATAAAAGCGAAAACGTTAGGAAAAATTAAGCATGGGCAATTTCCACAAACGTTTACTACTCTTTCAGAGGTATTTTGCTGTTTTGCAATGTGATAATTTTGTGACGACAATTTCCTCGTATACAGTTGACTCTCGTTAGTACAAACTCTGTTAATACAAATTCTGGTTATAACAAACATAAAGCCTTGGTCCCGACTGATACACAAATTTGGCTAGGTCCGAACGAGTTTGTATTAACGAGATTCGACTGTATATTCCAACCAGCTGCATTTTAGCCAAGCCTAAATCCATGCAAAGCCAAATTTGAGAAGTTAACTCGAAATTTACATCTTTTTTTTTTACTCATGAACACTTTTAATACTTAATGAGATCGTGGTTAAATTTTAAGAAAGGGATGCTTCCTGGCCAGCAGAAATACCCTATTAAAACTTTAAATGTGTTAGAAGTGATTTTGTAGTGTTAAGTACATACATGTAAATGAAAAAGAAGATTTATTTCAGTCAAAAACAAATTTCCTTTTTAAAATAGCCAAATAAAAAGGAAACCACTGAAAGATTGACATTTCCTTGAAATGATGGTATGTTTGTCCTATTTCTTTTGATGACAAAATGTCTTTTTGCATCCATTTTATTATGGAATTCAGGATCTTTTTAAACAATTAAGGAACAAATTTGTAAAAACTAGAGGGCCTACTGTTTTTAGCCCAGCTGCAATGGATCTTATTCAAAGGTAATACATGTACTATAAGCCAATACCGGTATAATGACCTCTGATTGTGACTGTTTATATGAGTGAAGAGGGCTATTAAAAATACAAATCACAGAACAAAAAACAACCGTTTTCAATAATACAAAATTCGATAAATATTTATAGTTTAGGCCCCCCAAAAAAGTCTCCGGTTTCTGGTATGCGCGTCGGCAAAATGAAAAAGTTTTTTTTCAATGAAAGATGATGTCTCAAAACCGCCAAACTCACTGGTTTGACTGGAATCCTGCTGCTGCACAATTTTAACGTGTTTTTAGATGGGGGTTATGATCGAGAATAAGCTTTATGTGGCCTCTCTGGACTCCCATATATTTGCACTAAGTTTAGTCGGGCACCATTTGCAGTTATCAGCCGATATTTGAAGCAAAAAAGTCAGGTAAAAAAAAAAAAAGCTGCGTCGCCGCACCAAATTTTGGGCAAGCTCCATACCAGAAACCGGAGACTTTTTTTGGGGGGGCCTTAAATAACTATATTTATATAATGTATGTTTTTGGGGGGCAGTTACACACATGCTAAAAATAAGTACATGTACACATACCCTGACATCATCAGATGTGTAGACAACTGAATACAACATTTCAAATGTAAAGGAAAAATCTTTTGATTTCTTTTTTTTAAATATAATTTTGTTTCTGGAAAACCAGAGAAATGTTGCTTGCATTATTTGACACCCATGTTTGATTTGAATAAAAAAGGACTATTTTTTTCACACTTATCACATCAAAATGACACTTAAAACTTAACTTTTGTTTATACAATAAAATCTGGGTATATTTACAAGAATACCTACATCGCTTAAACTTTTAAAAATAAATTCACAATTTTCAAAAAAATGCATCCTGTACATGTACAGAACAGTTTAGTGAATTTGTCATTTCAGTCAGAATACAAAATATAAGTTCTACCAGAATCAAAATATTGTTTCAAGTTTTCTTTCTTTTGATACAATTATACTCTTTTTGCATGCATATGCTGTGTATGTACACGTAAATATTATTCAGTCATTTGTCTGTTATTTATCACGCTTATTTGCGACACTTGGCTTTTTACATGCAACAAAACAAGACACACTAGTACAGAGCTTTGTCATACAACTAGTGTAAAGTACACGAAGTGCGGATAATTAAAGATAGGTTAGATCATTTGTGATTTGTGAATTTTGTTTTTGTTTGAAGCAACAAAAGTGCTCAAAATCTAAAGACTGTTGCTTAACAATTGACCTGATGAAGTTTTAGCTCAGTGAATGCTGTATATTCCGAGAAAAACAATATTCTAGGATCTCGGTTTCAATTCAAAAGTTGCCGAGTCACGTTTTGAACTGCACCTGAAATCAGCATCTGGGACACGCTCTCATTCAAATACGATTGAGTATTTTGCAGCAATTTTTATTTTAGACTTCAATTCACATGTACCAATGCTTGTTGTTTTAAGAAAAAATGACAGCAGCACTTCTAATTTATGCAAGAAAATATCAATTTTAGTTGAGGTCGTTTCAAATGCTACAGAATTTTTATATTCATAAAAAAAAACACCTTTTGTGTGAGTGTGTTAGTCAGGTTTGAAATGCAATACTGTATTTTCAGAATTTTCAAAACTGAGACATAACCCAAAATATAAACATGTCCAAAATTAGACGGCATGTGTTGTCTTGTGTAAGAATCACAGAGATCTCTACACAATCTGTAAACTTGCAAACCTGGCCTACATGTATTTTCCAGTGTAAGTGTCTACAGAAGTCTACACACATCCATAATGTATGAGAATTCGCATCAGCCACTCATACAGCACAAGCAAAAGACATTCAAAACTTTAAGCACTTATCTGCGATCCAAATCCAAATGTCTCTTCTGGCAAATTGAAATTTGGTTTCTATTCCTCATAAAGCTTTGACGAGCTCCGATAGAATGGCTGGATAGTTCTGCTCGATGTTCAAAGATGGCAGAGTCAACATCTTGTCATGAACGCCTTTTCTGGCAAATATGAAAGCTGGTTTCTATTTCTCATAAAGCTTTGACGAGCTCCGATAGCATGGCTAGATAGTTCTGCTCGATGTTCAAAGACGGCAGAGTCAACTTCTTGTCACAAACATCTTTTCTGGCAAATATGAAAGCTGGTTTCTATTCCTCATAAAGCTTTGACGAGCTCCGATAGCATAGCTGGATAGTTCTGCTCGATGTTCAAAGACGGCAGAGTCAACGTCTTGTCACAAACATCTTTTCTGGCAAATATGAAAGCTGGTTTCTATTCCTCATAATGCTTTGACGAGCTCCGATAGCATAGCTAGATAGTTCTGCTCGATGTTCAAATACGGCAGAGTCAACTTCTTGTCACGAACGTCTTTTCTAGCAAATATAATCTGGTTTCTATTCCTCATAAAGCTTTGACGAGCTCCGATAGCATAGCTGGATAGTTCTGCTCAATGTTCAAAGATGGCAGAGTCAACGTCTTGTCTCCATCTTTCACAGACACAACAGATAGATGGGACGATGGTCCTATACACTGTCGGTTGGATTCAATACTGAGCAATGGAAGAAGGCCGTCCGCAACTGCGTCTATCATAAAGGGATCGTCCCCTACTACGTGTTTGCTGTGATGTGGATGACTACTATCTCTTTTCGGTCTGTAAGAAGCAAAAAAATTCGTCAAATTTTCAATAAATCAGGGTTTTAGTTTAAGGTTGGGGTAAGAAAAAAAACAGGTATTTTTTCCTTGGCTTAACCAGTTTCGCGCCGGGATTATTTTGACATTGACCGGGCCCAGGTGCGGATTGTTTTTCACAAACTCGATGCCAGATGGGTTCAGGCCGTCATCTGCAGGTAGCACACCCTGATATTTCTGGCCTCACTCGCTGCGAGCGGGTCGCTGACAGATATTTCCGGCCTCACTTGTTGAGTGTTTATCCGTCATCCGTTCCGAATACCGCAAAACGTTTGGACGTCATACGACGTTAGCTGGCTAATAGTGCAATTCGGGCAATTCACAATGCAGTGTTCCACCAAGAGTTTGCCATGGAGAGTTCATTTTTCCAAGTGCATTGTGGGAGATGGTCAACAAATTCGCAATGCAGGACACCTGAAGTTGTTCGTTTTTCCGGTCAGTATTTTCGTAAGCGTATAATTCGAAGATCTGTTTGCCCTTTTCTTTTCTTTTTATCAATTTGGTGTTTTTTGTAAGGCGGCAGAACGCTTTGCCCCAATCTATAACAAATGAGCTCAAGTTGTCACCTCAGACACTCATTCAAATGGGCCATGTTTTGTCAACCGTAAACTTGAAAAATGGACTCTCCATGGCAAACTCTCGGTGGCGCACTGCATTGTGAATCACCCGAATTTAAACATACCTTCCTCTCTTTACTGTTGGGATCACGTTACTTTTCTTGTCATTTTCCACCCCATCGAAGAGCTTGAGGAGCAGGTTGGAGCTACTGGCTGACACCCTGACTATTCTCCTCGGAGGCGGCTTAGGTTGCTTAGGTTTGACAACTTCCGTCGCGACGGTCTCCCCTGCACCTTCTCTCGTATCTTGTAACTGAGATTTCTCGGTGCCTTTTGTCCTTTCAATTTTTTCAGCTTTTACGATTGGTTTAGAGTCTTTTTCGTCAGAGTCGGATGGAGGTGTAACTGGTCTTGGATCTGACGGTGAATAATTAACATAAATAAAAGTTTATTTATTAATTTATTACATTTCTTTACTCAGGGATTGCCCGTTGCTTAAACCACAGTTTAAAACTGATTTTCCATTCAGGGCCTGCATACATTTTAAAATAAAAGTTGAGTAAATTAAAGCCAAGGGAATTAAAGCCGAGAACCCAGACCAAAAAATCCTGACGGGTGCACACAGGTAAATAGGCTTTAACCCATCCGCCGAGCTCATGAATAAAAGTTATACCCTCAAAATATTCTATATTAGAGAGTTCTGAGAGCCATAAAATTGGGGAAGTGAAGAGATATGGTAATGAACCTCTGGCCCGGACTTAGGGCTTCCAATTCTGAGCATTTTGGATGCTATTGGGCTCGAAAATGGTGCTATTTTGCCATGTTGCGGAGGGATCCTTTTTCAAGATGGCTTCTTCTCCGCTTTGAGAAAAATAGGGGTCGTCTTCTTTGGGTGAGAAAATCTCGAAAAGTCAATGGTCAACCCACCAAAAAATGAAAAGAAAATGAAAGATTACACGTTGATCATCATTTTTCTGTGCAGCTTGAATACCTTTTCTGAGTATTTTTAAAAGAATTTTGAAGTATGGGCATTTAGCACTAGTGTCTATGGGAATTTTATTGCAGGGTTGCACCCTGACATTGATATGGTTACATCTGCATGGGAACCACAGTCGACTGCCGTAACTATAGCCATGCCATATAAATAAGTACAAACCTGTTATATCTCCCAAGACAGGCTGGTCGGTCTTGGAGACAGGTGGTAAGACTGTATACATGCTGCCAGGAGGTACCGTGTTGACTGTGTTGGGCTGTTGCCAGAACGACTGTGGCAAAGCTCGGAGTTTCATTGGCAAGGGATCTGCAGGTCAAGTAAAGGTCATTTGAAAAATTAAATTTGTGAGTTATTCATTGCACAAACTTCAAGTAAATAGAGAAAACCGGACGAAACATAAAAAACGCATTAATCCCAAACATGACTGCCAAACTACTATGCACACAGTCGTGACGAACATAACTCTCGAAGACAAGGCATTGTGTTTCCTTTGTCCCTGTAATATACATGCAACACCCTTCAAGGATTACTCAAACATCTGTTGAGCCTTTCATAAATTATTTATTATAATTATTTTTATGCCCCGCGGCGAAGCCGAAGGGGCATACTGTTTCCGCCTTGTCCTTCCGTGGGTGGGTGGGTGGGTGGGTGGGTGGGTGGGTGTGTGTGTGGGTGGGTGGGTGAGTTTGTCTTACATACGCAGTGTGGACTTCCGAACAAAAGACGTCCACATAATGTAGGTAGCACCGACGTTGTGTGGACTTACCCCACGTCCACACAGTGTTTCCCCATTTCTGGAAAACAGGTTTAGAGGCATTTTTGGGTTAGGTTTATCTGTAGCAGAATGAAGAGAAACACTAAAGGGAATCATAGAAAAAAAATTGGGTTGAAAGAATTTTCACAGTTTGAGAAAAATGAGTTTTTTCACTGGTTTTTCTTAACTACACGAAAGCAATGGAAAGTCCACACTAGTCATGTGAAACAAGTATGGGTGTGTGGGTGTGTGTGTCCGGACAAATCTTGTCAGCGCGATAACTTGAGAAATACTTAACATATGAACTTCAAATTTGGTTTGTGGATTGTCCTTGGTAATCCTAAGAAGCCTTTTGCATTTGGGGCCGAAAGGTCAAGGGTCAAGGTCACAGTGGCTGCAACAATAGAAATTTTGTCAGCGCGATAACTTGAGAAATACTTGACATATGAACTTCAAATTTGGTTTGTGGATTGTCCTTGGTAATCCTTAGAAGCCTTTTGCATTTGGGCCGAAAGGTCAAGGGTCAAGGTCACAGTGCTTGAAACAATAGAAATTTTGTCAGCGCGATAACTTGAGAAATACTTTACATATGAACTTCAAAGTTGGTTTGTGGATTGTCCTTGGCAATTCTAAGAAGCCTTCTACATTACGGGCCAAAAGGTCAAGGGTCAAGGTCACAGTGACTAAAACAAAAGAAATTTTGTCAGCGCGATAACTTGAGAAATACTTTACATATGAACTTCAAATTTGGTTTGTGTATTGTTCTTGGTAATCCTAAGAAGCCTATTGCATTTGGGGCCGAAAGGTCAAGGGTCAAGGTCACAGTGGCTGAAACAATAGAAATTTTGTCAGCGCAATAACTTGAGATATACTTTACATATGAACTTCAAAGTTGGTTTGTGGATTGTCCTTGGCAATTCTAAGAAGCCTTTTACATTACGGGCCAAAAGGTCAAGGGTCAAGGTCACAGTGGCTAAAACAAAAGAAATTTTGTCAGCGCGATAACTTGAGAAATACTTTACATATGAACTTCAAATTTGGTTTGTGTATTGTTCTTGGTAATCCTAAGAAGCCTATTGCATTTGGGGCTGAAAGGTCAAGGGTCAAGGTCACAGTGGCTGAAACAATAGAAATTTTGTCAGCGCAATAACTTGAGATATACTTTACATATGAACTTCAAATTTGGTTTGTGGATTGTCCTTGGCAATCCTAAGAAGCCTTTTGCATTTGGGGCCAAAAGGTCAAGGGTCAAGGTCACAGTGGCAAAAACAATAGAAATCTTGTATTTATTCTGAGATCATAGGGATCAGGGATTAATTCATATAAAACCTACAGAAGACACTAATGCTGTCAATGAACGTTCCATTTGACCAAGGTACATGTAATTTGATGTTAGAGTGGTGTTATGTCATGGAAACAGTCACGGTTGCGGGGCATTTGTGTTTGTAAACACACCTGACTTGTTTTTTAATATGCCAGTGTTTCAACTACGCATGCGCACAATATGATATGGGTTACGGGTCATTTGGGATAATCAAAGGCGCGCGAGACGGGCGCACGACGCTTGTGCGCTAATTACAACCACAATGGACATTTGCGTATCATCACGCTTAACATCACGATTTTATCCCAAATTACGTATTGGGACAACCCACTTCCGTATTACACGCACGTTTACACTATAAAAAGTTGTTGCCTTGTCTGACATCCCCCCCCCCAATTTTGATGACATATCTTGTAATTATTTTTCCTCCAAATCTTTTTAAAATTTTGCAATTTTATCCCTTTTTTTTAATTCCTGTACTTTTTTTTTTTAGAATTGGGACTAACCACTTCCACTTTACCGACATACCAAAAAAAAATTGGGATGACATATCTTTAATTTTTTATCTTCTAAAAAAACCTTTAAAAAATGCATTTTTATAATTCCTTTAATTTATCCCTGTACTGCCCCAAACTTCCCCGCCTGTTATTCCTTATACTGCCCAAAACTACTCCTAAACTGTATGATTTACGGATTTGTTGGGTATTAATTAAAAAAATGTAAAACAGTTTTACATGCTAATGGTTATATAACTGTTCTGTATATCACGCTTTCTGACTTTTGACAATGTAGAAACTAATAAATATATTATCTACATTTTCCATACAATGCACATTTAGGTGGACATATGGACCAATGTGAAATATTTCTCGCGCCAAATATTATAATACAATAGCAATTGACTCATTGATAATTTGCTTATTAAAATGAAACTTGGGAGGCACCCTACGTGTTTATAATAAACAAGGCCAGTTGCTATGCAACGGTTGCTATGACACCGCAGATGTATGACCTGCTCAATCTGGTACCTGAAAGACGGTGTGTGTTGAGACGTAGTAATTAAGCATAGAGCAAGGTCTCCATGCGTTCTGATCATGTATGTGTACATGTACACATATTGTGTTGGAACTGTCAAAGATATCTTGCTGACAAATGTACATTTTTATTAAATGATGACAATGATGTTTTAGACAAAAGGATTTTTTTTGCAAATGAGTAAATATATAACGATACCCATTCCAATAAACTGCTTTTCTTCACGTCTAAAATGAAATAATGTGTTAGAAAAACTAATTTTTGTTGCAATACAAATTAACATAACAGTACATGTATGGCCCAACAACAATAATTACGGTAACCCGACCTACCTAGATTTTGTAAGGCCAAATTTCCAACCTGAAGAGTTTTATTGCCAAATTTTGGCCGACAAATTTAAAATAAAGTATTATTTTGAAAATAAAACTCTTCTATGCAAGTTTGTGTGTGCTATTGGTTAATTAAAATGGGCTAATTAATCAGCATATCGTTAAAAACTACACCCCAAAACAAAGCAAGCATAAAAGAGTGACAAACACAAAAAAGTTACAAAATAAACCTATTTTCTATCTGCCTACCTAGATAATTTTAGGACGTTACTGTAAACACAACAATTTTTCTCGATGCAGACATATTGTTGACATGATTGTATATATATTTTATTTGAATAAACAAATGTAAATGTTATATTAAAATCATAGAATGTTTTCAATTGTTATAGTATCGTATCCCTGAGAGTTTACAATCAAATGGGCCACTGGTATTACACAATATTTGGCAGTTTCGTTTTTTTTTAATGTTTGCAAGATATGCCTTTATTAAATGGATAAATGTTAATGTTAATTTCACAACCGAGTGAAGAGCACTTTCTCATTATCATTTCAGTCTAAAAATAGTCCTCGTTAAAGAAAAAACAAAATGCTGTTTTCTTCATTTATGCTTTAACCTGTAAGTCCGTGTACCGCCCCAAATTGCCCCGCTTGTTACTCCTTATACTGCCCAAACTGCCCAGCACTCTATGGTTATTATGGATCCAACAAGAAGCAAATAGTACAATGTAATACAAAAGAAAATGGGTAAACTTTTGATAACACAAATTAACCGGCTTTTGTAATTTATTATGTGCTACATGTAGTAGATTTAGGCCTACTATTACTGTTTGGAAATTTACATGTAGTCATTTTCAGCTTGCAATTAATTTTTTTCTGAATGAAATCAACCCAGCCCATATTTATTGACTCTGAAAACAAGTGTCAATAAATAGTGGATAGTCCTCCGTGGTGGACTAACAAGATCCACTTATGAAGGTCATGGTACAGGCGTTCACTCGTTCACGTGCGTATTATGCTAATGTTATTTATCAACTTATTATCATCTGAATACACAAAGCCGTTCTGTCTTCATGTGTGGTCCGGCGCACTGCAGCAATGGCGTTCACATGTCTGCCATTTTTTACTCTTTGTCTCTTATGGAGTTGACGGTGTTGCAAAAAGTTCCAAACATTGAATTTTCAATTTCAAGCAGACCCAGGTAAAAAAGTAGAACAGTACGATAAAAAAAGAAAAGAAAAAAGTAGGACTTTGGAGGACAAAATCAGGATAGAAGTAGGACTTTTTGCAGACTTTCAGGAGTAGTTTCGTTGATAATGTCCACAGCATCATAAGCCTCATTTGGCATGTTCTGTACTCAAAACATTTGTGCTCCATCCTCAACTAAACTCTTGGAAGTACAGTTGCAGTACTCCTGCGCCCAAGCCCTTCATTGTGTGATTAGAAATATAATAACAATGTCATACATGTCATTTTTTTTGTTGAGTTGTGGGACAAAAAAGTAGGAAAAAGTGGGAATTTCAAGAGAAAAGGAGAAAGGTTTAGGCAGAGTAAAAAAAAAAGAGTAGTTTCTCGTCCAGCCTTTTTGAAAAAATGAAGGAGGCAGGCACTCCCCCCCCCCCAAAAAAAATGGTGGATTTTCCAAGATGGTGGACAAATTCTTCAATTTTCTCGATTTCTTCTGCTACAAGACAAAATTGTGTCCATAGGAACTGTATCCCTTTCTACATAGCTACAATTTTTTCAGCAGGCAACGTGGTGTGCTCCATAAAACTGGCCAAATTCCATCGATTTGCAGCTCAAAAAATGATCGTGAATAACATTGAAGCCCCATAGTTTTTCTTTGACATGTGGAGAAGCAAGTAGGCGCTTAATAAGTTATTTTTGTCAAGTCTTTGCCATGATTTTGGCAACTTTTTGAGCTGGACGCTCGTGAAAATACTATAGTTTATATTGTAGGGGTCCTTTCTGGTCAAATTTTGAAGAAAAAAGGAGTAGTTCTAGTGCTCAGTTACTTTGGTCTACCGGTACTTTGTATGTTTTGCATAAATACAACTGAGGGGAAGTTTATATGCAGAGTTCTTAATATGCTAGATCTAACCTGAAATATTAAATAATAAATTATCACATTGGTTCACTGTATGAAATAAAGGTGTTCTGCTGAAAAACCACAAGATTATGCAAGACCCCTCTTATTCATTACATAACTGTTTAGCATACAATCTTTCAGGCATTTGTCTTCAAGTTCCATGTTCTTTACACTGTCGATCCAGGCAAGCATTTGTTCCTAATGCTATACACATGTTTAATGACAGAGGGCTTGCTTGTAGTTGTAGTCTGGGCTGTTTTTAATACTTATTATCTTTTTTTTCATAATCTATCATGAAGTAAATAGTAGTTTTTATTTGGAATTGATAAATACTGTGTAATGTTGATTTTTACTAGAAGTGTGTGGTACATCACGTGTGCATTCATCGTCGTATTTAAAGTATAAAGAATATTTTTAGAGTAGTTTTACATCAATTTTTAAGTTGTTTGTAATTGTTTACATATTTGATACATGTTTGACGTGTAATTTATTTTAAGTGTTTTAGTGAGCTGTCATACCATGTACATGTATGTAATTGCCTTTTTTGAAGTTTTTAAGGATAAATAAAGTATTTTGAATCGAATTGTAGTGAATTTTTTTTTTATGTATTGTTTTGGTTATATATATCTAGCGTGTATTTTGAGTGTATTGTCAGATTTAGTGGGCACCAAATTTCTATGTTTTTAACATAAACAGAAGTGAATTGAAACAATAACACAAAGATCTTAAATTTGGTAACTAAAACTGGAAAGAATGTAGTATCCAATCGCCACTTCAGCCGTTGTCTACAAAGTCTATGGAGAGTCAAGAAAATTGTCTAAGTATTTCCTAACAAAGTTGGAAATGTTTCTCAGTAACAGATTCATGTCTTTGCAACATTTTTGCAGTGACTGATCTCTATTGAGATGATAATATAGGGGCCTGTGAAGAAAAAATGGTGTCAGGATGCAACATTCTTTCCATAAAACCTGGCACCTTACCCTTTTTAGGCTTCTGTTTGATCTTGTTCGGTGGCACGGCTGTTCGGACATTGTTATTATTACAGTTATTGTTTCTATCAATTCCCACGTGGATTCCTTGTTGATAAAGTGGGTTGTCAGCAACCACAGTGTTTTTCTTAATTTTCTTTTTTAATTTCACCGATCTGCTCGATCGAAATGTCGTGGCCTGTATTTCCTGCGCATGGTGGTTGAATCCAGCGGGCCGGATGTATATCGGACCGCTTGATGTGCTACTGCAGGGCGAGGGCGGTATCTCCTCAAGGTCTGAATTTTCGCCCTCGGAGGAACTCCCACTAAGAGAAGTTGACGGTCCTCTTTTATTTGCGGCATAGTTGAACGAAGTTGGGGGTGGAACTTTTGCCATGTTGCAAAAGAAAAAAATCCTCACAGCATAGTTATAAGTCAAGTAAGATAGGCCAGCGCTCTAGCTGCCTAGGCCTATAAAAGTAAAAGGAGACTTCAGTTTAAAGCGCGATTCCAAAATTAAAATTTGAAGTGAGCTAGGTGATTTATGTTGATTTCATGATGGTATCTAGTGTTGACAGTTTTGTGTACAATTAGTCATTGTAGAGCAAAGCCCAGATAACGTAGGTTTGTCTAAAGTCATGCTGGCTTTTTATAACTTGCTGAAATCCAGATAAAACCACAGACAAGTCGACGGAAACAGCTGACCTAGCGGCGCGAAACTTTCATTTTTGGAGGTAGGCAGTGACAACACAAGAATGCAGACTGCAAAATCAGTCAGTTGTGATCTCAATCTGAGGTATATTTACAGCAAAACAGATCAACAACGACTGCAAACATTCCAAGCTTGCCGTAACTTCCTGCTTAAATTCCTTTCAGTTGACACACAGCGAACGCGAGACAGAACTCGACACGACAGTGTACGATCTGACAATCACACGAGCATAAAAATGTCAACAAATTTACGTCCACAAACTGCACATTTCGTCCTCGTCTGCACAGCAAAATCCACCTCACAAATTCACAAACACTCCTAGAATCTCCTCATATTTTCTTCTTCAAAATACAGCACAATTTTTTCAATTTTTGGTCAAATATTTGGAAACGAAATCCAGCTCCACACGGTCCAAATTTTTTTCGCGGCGTTTTTGTTGTACCAAAACAGAGCTGTTACTAGGCAAGGGTAAATAATTGATTAGGTTTAAATGACGTCAGTCTATAAATAGATTACTGGCACTTCGCGTAGTCAGAGTATATCCGGTATGGTACCCTGCCTCACAATATACAATTGCATTAATTTCTATGACAATGTTTATAACGGAACTCGATCGTGCATATAGCGAATCATCAAACTCAAAACGTTCAAACACATTTGGTCCTGTATTTCTCGCCTCTGTGTAACCGCTTTTTTAGAGGGATACCAAAATCTTTTGTAAGTACAAAAGGAAAAATGTTGAAACCTGACGCCACTTCAGCGGTTGTGTACAAAGTCTATCTTGTCTATGACTATGCCTAGTCCGAGTAACTTGGACCCAACTTATCGCCTTTTTAAAAATTTGGACATGGTCTGGCGATAGTAGGGTCCAAGCCCATTCCGAGACCTAGACAACACAGTCACTGACAGTCCCAAAAACCAACATTTTCCAACAAAAAACATCAGATTTCACCTTCAAAACGGCCTCCAAATTACTAGATATGCCACCTGAGGTACAAGTAGACATCGATAATTAAGATGGTTGTACTGAAGTTTACTTACGATCCGGAAAAAAAGTGAAATTTTCCGTTCATTTCGGAGAGCTGCCCTCGCGATCTTGAACACGTTAAATTTGCGATCGTGTTTAAAGTTTGAACGACGCGATTTCTTCTACATGCCCAGCGTACATTCGATGGTCCCCGTATCCCGAGTGCGATTCCGTTACCGAGCGCGCGCGATGCATCGATTATGATAATGATCACGTTTGTAAACACATACATGTGCATTTCGAACTGTAAAAGGGAACGGGAACCAGCTTGAACTGGTACCCGCTATAAAAGCTGCGCTAGTTCCCGATTCCCTTTTACAGTTCGAAATGCACATGTATGTGTTTACAAACGTGATCATTATCATAATCGATGCATCGCGCGCGCTCGGTAACGGAATCGCACTCGGGATACGGGGACCATCGAATGTACGCTGGGCATGTAGAAGAAATCGCGTCGTTCAAACTTTAAACACGATCGCAAATTTAACGTGTTCAAGATCGCGAGGGCAGCTCTCCGAAATGAACGGAAAATTTCACTTTTTTTCCGGATCGTAAGTAAACTTCAGTACAACCATCTTAATTATCGATGTCTACTTGTACCTCAGGTGGCATATCTAGTAATTTGGAGGCCGTTTTGAAGGTGAAATCTGATGTTTTTTGTTGGAAAATGTTGGTTTTTGGGACTGTCAGTGACTGTGTTGTCTAGGTCTCGGAATGGGCTTGGACCCTACTATCGCCAGACCATGTCCAAATTTTTAAAAAGGCGATAAGTTGGGTCCAAGTTACTCGGACTAGACTATGCCTATGGAGAGTCAAGAACATTTTCTAACTTTATTTCCTAACATAAAAATTGGAACGAAGTGGCTATCGTTACGGCAGCCGTTGTTTAGCGCCCTCTACGATACTTTTTTGATATGCACGCAGGTATATAATTATTTGTTTCCACACGTTTTAGCGAGCAGTGTGACTGCTCCACTACGTGGAGCCTCATAGTTCTAGGAGTACTCGGTCGATAGAGGGTAGGATTTTGCACCGCGAGGTTGCGGGTTCGCATCTCAGTTTTGCACTCGAATTTTTTTCCTTTTCTAACCTGAGCTGAGGCTTTGGAGGATTTTTTTAAAAGGGAAATAAAGTCAGAATTTCATAACGTTCAAATTCACTTTTTTTCCTTCTAATTTTATATTTTCTTCTCATGTTTTTATAAAAGTTGCAGTGCTACCGTCATGACCGTAACGATAGAAAATGGGAAATGCGTTACGGCTGCCGTAACGATAGCCACTGCGAAATTGGAAATGTTTCTCACTTAAAATTCTCAGTCCCGGATTCATGTGTATCATCATTTTTGCAATGACTGACCTTCATTGAGATGATATGAAGAAAAAAGTGGCGTCGGGTTGCAACATCTTTGTTCGGGAAAAAAATGGAATGATTTTTACTTTGTCGAATGTGGATTAACGTTCTCTTATAACTTGAAGTTTAAATGGTATAAACTAAGTGAAATGTTTAAAATTAAAAAGAACAAAAAACTGTCTCGGCGAACATGGCAAAGGCAGTCGTGTCAGTGGATAAGTTGTCGGTGCCAGTTTCCTTTTAATTTAACAATATTTTCTTGTTTGCGCCATTAAATAATGTTAAATACCCCCTTAAAAATATTAGGAAACATTGTGTTGGTAGTGGTTTTGGGTAGTCACAAAGAAAGGCCTGTATCCTGTTCATGCATGGCTGAATATCAGTGAAACATTTACTGAATGTGGTCAATACCCAGATCAAATGTTGGCTGAAGAGAAAATCTGGTAACCTTTTCCGTTTTTGTGGGAGACAAAAACTTATCGAGAGGAATTTTTTTTCTCACCCTATATGGAAGGAGTCCTAAACTACAGTTTTACACCATTCTTTTATTTAATCGCACAAATACTATTAACATTGTAAACTATGCAATGTAAACAAAATAATTTCTTCTGTTGATTTTACATTCTCAATATTGAAGGAATTCACCCCCCCCCTCAATTGTAGCCATGACCTCACTCCGAGTCATTAGCTTGTGGCTATAGTGATTGTCTCAAGCATTTGTGTATCATTGACCAGAAAATGCCGTCTTTATGTACATAATAGTGCACTTTGCCCAGTATCCAAAAGCCTTTGTAACACAAACAGTGTGCCCTGCATACCAGTTGGAATTGTATGGTACGATCACATTCAGAAATCAATATCATTAAAATAAGAACCACATTTATACTCCTTGGTTTGGAGAGGTATTGGTGTGAAGTGGCTTGCCCATGGACACAACACATGCCTGGCAGCTGGATTCAAACCCTGACCCTCTGATCACGAGTCACAAACCCTAACCACTAGACCACACTTCTTACGTGTACGTGAAACTTTTTTTCTTTTAAAAACTGTAGCAATACCTGTAGGTCATGCGCATTTGTCAAGCTTTAATTGGAGTTGGCGTCCGGCGCAATTGTTCATCCTTGGCGAGAGCTTCACGTTACCTGAGACAGACAATACAGTCTACAGATCGGCCTGGATGCAAGATCACGGCAAATAGACTCCATCAACATACCAGGAAGATGGCCAATAAGGTCGATAGAAGCATGGAAGAGAAATCAGTTGAAGTTTGCAGGTAAATTAAACAATAAAGGTTGGTTTTAAAGTTTTCAAATTCTATTCAATTGATTCCGAATGGCTTTTTACTGGAAGTCTTTTCATGCATGGTCTACACATTGGGCTGGACTTAGCCCAGACAGGGCTCTGGAGTGCTCTGAAACGTGCAAAACTAAATCAGGCCCACTTTACTCACAGTTTAGTCAGCAAATTTCTCAAAAAATTCCACTGGGGCAAAGAAAATGTCCTCAGTATTTCACCAACCAAGTTTGCAGACTCAATTCAATTATTAAAGGAGACTTTTCTGCAATATTTTGCACATGAGAGGGAAGTCAAGTGATTTCAAAATGGGGCTAAATACTAGACTGGTACATGTCCAACCATGGTCCAACTATTTGAAAAGACTGACTTCTTTTCAGTGTCAATAGTCTGGTGGATTGACTATGGAGAAATGTGTAGTAAAATTGAGACTAGTTCCCGCTTCATGCCACATGTTTCTTAAATTCTTTTGGCATGGTTGATTGATGCAGTACTGAAGCTGTGTTGGACTGGTTGTTTTACCGGTAGGTGCCAGTCTATTTTCTTGTTTTGCATGTTTTTAATACCTTAAGTTTTGGGACTCTCATACACAGTATTGAGAGTCCCAAATTTTCGGACTAGATTTAGCCCATTCATTGATGTTAAGGGGTAATCCTATATGATAGCACTGCCTACTCCTAGAACTATGATGCTCTGCGGAGCGGAACCTCATATAGACAGCTGACCCCGCAAAAATTGTTTGCTCCAACAAAACACCAGCTAAGTACAGAAACGTCCATCAAAACGCAGCGAACCGAAAGTCATCGATCGATCATATAACTGCGTGCACGTTTCAAGTGTCAGGTTGGCTCAGTGCAGAAAGGGCATATTTGTCATCATTTTGGCTTAAAAAACGACAGAATCCACCGATGTTTGTTGGGTGCAATTTACGGGAGTATGTCAAGAGGTATAGTACGGAGTTTCGGGGCAAACTGTGCAGCCACTCTGTGGGAAATGGCTTGGTTGTGATGGATGTTTTTGTACTTAGTTGGTGTTTTGTAGAAGCAAACAATTTTGAGGGGTATGCTGTCTATGAGGCTCCACTCTGCGAAGCATCGTAGTTCTAGGAGTAAGCACTGCACTGGTACATGTATACAGGGTGTCCAAAAAAGGTAACCCCAAACAAAGGGATAATGATGAACAATATGAACCTTGTTGTTTTATCATGTTAACTAGGGGCAGTAAGCTTTCCGTTGATATCTTGGATGCATTCCTTTGATCATGTTTCACTGAGCTTCTTTGTTTTGAAAATGGGACGGTTTGGGCTAAATTATAGTAATAATGTGGTGCTTATATAGCGCTTTATACCAAAGGTCTCAAAGTGCTTCACAATTATTACCCCTGATCATCAGGATATGAGACCATTTTTGCAGCACCTCGAGATCAGCGCATTCTGGTCTGTACCGTCACCGGTACCCATTTATACTCCTGGGTGGAGAGAGGTGATTGTAATAAAGTGTCTTGCCCAAGAACACAAAACGTCGCAAAGCGCTTCACAATTATTACCCCTGTTCATCAGGCCATGAGACTAGTTTCTGCATCAGCTCGAGATCAGCGCATTCTGGTCTCTACCTTCACATGTACCCATTTATACTCCTGGGTAGAGAGGCAATTGTAGTAGAGTGTCTTGCCCCAAAATGTGGAAATGGGATAAATAAACAGGATTTATTTTAATCCGTTTAATAGGCTGATGGGTCCAGACGATGCAAACTTCAGCGGAAATGTCCACGGAGGTGTCATTCTGAAGATGATTGAACAAGCAGGGTTGATTGTATCAACTAGGCACTGTAATGTCATGAGAAAACCGGTAGGTACATTAAGTTATAAGAGCAGTTATTTTAATAACTGACTGTGTTTGTGGTTTAATTGTTAATGTTCTGCAGTTTAGTTAACCATAATAAACTTCTTAAGTACAAGTTAACTGTCTCTGAACATTGTAGTGGTTTAATTGTGCTTCTTACTAGCGCCCCTGAACAAAGACATTGACAAATTGGGGAACTGCCAACACAGGGCTGGATAGCTCAGTTGGTAGAGCACTGGAACGGCAATCCGGAGGTCGCGGGTTCAAATCCCACTCCAGTCAACTTCTTTGTTGATCTTTAAAAGATTATTGTAATGCACCTCGTCAGTTTTCCTTTGTGGTTCATTTGAAAATTGAGGGCGTAATGGCTTCGCTTCTGTGGTTTGATTTTAAATAATCAAGTTGTTAGTTGCAATTTAATATTTCCTACGTTACAGAATGTTGAGCATGTGGGAAAAATATTGAGCAAACCTGTAGATAACCGAAGTTGGACTAACTTTGCTCAAACTATTTGGAACTGGAGCATGGGGCACAATTGCATCACTGGTTACCCTGAGCTGCAGGTGTCATAAAACACAACCGGGAGCCAGGACTTTTGACTATCGTTTGACTAGAGGCGTTCACGTGTTGCTATTAGTGCGCAGGCGTAAGCTACAAATCAACCACTGGTCGACTAATGTTCCTCGCCCAAACTTGCTTATAATTGCGGCATAGCACACATATACAACCTTAAAGATTTAGTCCATCATTTGTAATTTGTGCATTTTGTTCGTTTGAAGCAACAAAGGTGTTCAAAATCTAATGAAGGATACTGAACAACTAACCTGATGAAGTTTCAGCTCAGCTTCAGCTGTATATTCCGAGAAAAACAGCATTCTAGGATCTCAATTTCAAATCAAAAGTTGCTGAATCATGTTTTGAATTGTTTTGAATTGCAGCTATACGCGATGTCGTGCACTGATCTGACGAATTATAGCAACCACGCGCGCCTGTGCGTCGTGCCAATGTTTGCGCGCGCTGCGCCGAATAACAAAACGAACTACTAATTTTAATTTTCCTACGGTGCGTCTTAAGACACACCCGCACCGTTGGAAAGGCCTTCTTTCGTTGATTACTTCAAAATGACAGCTTGCCAGAAAGAATAATTTCACAGGGAGTTTAGTCCCCTTACTATCTTTCAACCAAGTATGTTTTTCAACAATAATTACGCCAGTTACTTTTCGGATGGCTGCAAATGATGGACTATAGCTTTAAGAATTTGGTTTGTGGGCTACGTATTTCCCTCTTCTGTAGAATCGCCCTTGTGGGGTATATTCAGACAAAGACCGACTTTGTGGGCTGTCATAGTTCCTCTTTGTGTGTGTACACCATAAGTACCCTGTCTTAAAAACACTGTTATTGCACACGCACCCAGACACACACACTCAAATCTTTGCAAGCTCAGGACTTGAACAAGTTTTTTGCAACTTCCAACCGATAATCTTCTGAAGAATCAATAATGCATTTACAGTTGGTTTGAAACTTTGAGATTGAATTATTGTAGGCTGCTCAACACTCCCTTGAAAAACATTTCCCGTTCATGTTGAATTGTTCCTTCAGACATCAGACACGGAGGAAGAACCAGAACAATGTGTCGCCGGTCTCGTGAGGGTTGAAAAGACGGATTTCGTTCAACCGATGTACATCGGAGAAATTGCCCAACTCCACGCTGAGATCACACATACTGCTTACCACTCTATGGAAGTACAGGTCAAAGTATGGGCAGAGGACATCCTGAAGGGTAAGTACATAGGTTTCAATAAACAACACAGGTGAGCAATAGAGACACAAGAATTGCCAGACCAATTTGAAGTGGGGGGGGGGGGCGATCTACAGGGTCAGTAACAAAAAACGCAACCCAAATGGCAGGACCATTTTTTGAATGAAGTTTTGCCTGTAGCACTGTCAAAATCTAGCATATGAAAGCCCAGTCATTAAGCTTTCTTTTAATACAAGAATCATTCAAATCACTCATGTACTTTTCAAGTTATGGAGTTTTGAACACAACGGCCAACCACAGTTTTAAAGTTCTGTCCACAGATCACAAAAAAGTAAGTGTTCTTTCAGCTGAACGAAAACAAATCTCATTAGGATGCATATGAATTGTTTTCGTTTTGCTGAAAGAACACTTACAAAGGGATGGGCTGAAAACCATCTGTCCAATGGGAGTGCTGCTCAATGCGGACGAGATTGGACACTATCGAACAGTAGGTGGCCCTATTTGGTGCAGCTTATCTGCCCTCCAACACCCAATTTTCTGACTGGATGCTGACAAAACCGAAAATGGGGGGGGGGGGGGGGGGTGTGACGCCCTGCCCCCTCATCCCTTTGTAAATTCAGAATAAGCTGTGCATACTTTTTGCCGTATGCGCTGAAACAAGTACGCGCATGCTTTGTGTTCCTCCCACTGCACGGATTCCATATCTAATCTTGAGTAATTAAGTACAAACAAGGGTTTTTGTCAGAGAGAATGGCAGATACTAATGTTGTGCTTCGGGTCAGATTGACCAGGCCAAACCGACCCGAAATATAAAAAATATAAACTGAAACCAATCTAAACTCCCCAAATCCGACCCACCCCGTCCTGACATAAATTCAAGCAAAACCGACCCGAGCCAACCCGAAACTGAACCGACCTCCCCAAAAAAACTGAATATCTGGCTTGGGCAACTGTGTCCGCTTTTTGTGCCTGAACTTACCCGCTTCGCGTTAAAATTGTCGTCTCTTAGTAACAGAATCATCCTACTGGTGGGCCTACACGTTTTAGACTTGTGCGTGAAGACCGTAAACCACACGCATATTCGCGCGATGGGTTGACGGTGGTGGTACCGGGCACAGTAATTCTGCAATTATATTGCACCGTGTGAATTTCCCAACTGTTCCGGTTTATTTTGGGTTTTTCACAAGATGGCCTAACCGACACGACCAGACCTGAAAAACGCAAACGCAAAACCGAAACTGTTCCGACCCGTCTGAAATGATGAAAAAACGGACCCGATCCAAAGTCGGTTTCGGGTCAGGTCGGTTTCGGATTTGGGTCGCGTTTGCACAACATTAGCGGATACTAGAGGTGGCAGCAAGTCATTTTTTGCAAGTCCAAGTCAAGTCACAAGTCAAAGCTGGTATTTACAAGTCATTGTTTGAAAGTCCAAGTCAAGTCACGAGTCATTAGGTCCAGTCACAAGTCATTATTTTTTTCGGGTTTTTCACAAGATGGCTTAACCGACATGACCCGACCTGAAAAACGCAAACGCAAAACCGAAACTGTTCCGACCCGTCTGAAATGATGAAAAAACGGACCCGATCAAAAGTCGGTTTCGGGTCAGGTCGGTTTCGGATTTGGGTCGCGTTTGCACAACATTAGCGGATACTAGAGGTGGCAGCAAGTCATTTTTTGCAAGTCCAAGTCAAGTCACAAGTCAAAGCTGGTATTTACAAGTCAAGTCACAAGTCATTGTTTGAAAGTCCAAGTCAAGTCACAAGTCATTAGGTCCAGTCACAAGTCAAGTCACAAGTCATTTGGTCTAAACACAAGTAAAGTCACTAGTATCTTTGTCCAAGAACACGTCAAGTTGCACATTATTTTGTCCAGCTGTAATAAGCTAAAAGAATTAACCTGGCGTGAACTTACGAGTTATTTTGAACATGCCTCCTTAATTCCCCTTTTTCGATGTGTTGCAATTACTATTCTTGTAGTTTATCACATATCTGTCAGATATTAGCCCTTTGTATACTTTAATAAATTTACTTTACATTGTAGAAATAAATGTTGAGATGACATGAAAAAAAGACTTCACTCATTCGATTGCATGTAGTATACTAACACTTTATTGTTCAATTTTCATGTATACTAAACGCCAACCAATGGGTTAGGCTATCCGGTATTTTACATGCAATTGACAAAGGCCTGCTTTCTTTTCATGAAAGGTTCCTTTCAAAGCTTGTTCAACCATTACATTATTAAGCAAGAGCTGGCATATTTTCTTGTGTTTACAGTGACTTAATCATAATTGAACTGCACAATACCCCTCCCATTACCCTGCATCCATTACCCTGTGTTTTTCACAAAGAAAATCACACAACCTGCAGTTGAACTTGTTGCTACCTCGACAAGACTTGTAGGCCTATCAGGAAGCGCACATCTGGTGCTGCATGGATGGCTACTCAAGCATACAACCAGTTGGGACTATTGGTAGACTTGCCGGAGCCTCTAACGTCGTTGGAGATTATGCAACATATGCTAATTTCATCATAAAATGGCTTTTATGGGTTTTTTCTTTTGCATAAAATTCTGCACTGAGTTTACGACAGAAAGGTTTGTGGCTACACGCTGTGGAAATATTAATTTTCAGCATTCAGGTATGAGAGGAAAACTGGTGAGGCGCGATTTCAATCGGCAGAGATGCCACTTTTCCGGTTTTAACCGGAATTCCGGTTTTAAAAAAAATCTCCCAAAATTCCGGTTTTTCCGGCGGTCAAATTAACCAGAAAAAGAGAAGAAAAACTGTGGAAATGCGTTGAGTTTTACCTCGATTTAGTACATTTAGGCGCACGCATGGCACAACGTTGTTTGTTGAAGTAGTCTTAAAAACAGTCTTTGTGTATGTTGTTGCCGAGCCTCCATGCGATACAAGCGGCCAACGTACTTAATTGCACGCAGTATACAACGGCGCCTCGCGCGTGCTTCACCGCGTGCGGGCGTGTTGTGTGCTAAGCACACATAGCATTAAGCCTGGAAATCAAGTCTATCATTTCAGCTATCGGTAGTATAATAGCGTAATTAAAGTGTATTGGGTCGCTCGAGTAGCGTCTGACTTGGGTTGGTAACAAGTCATTTTTTGCAATCCCAAGTCAAGTCACAAGTCATTGTTTGCAAGTCCAAGTCAAGTCACAAGTCAAAGCTGGTATTTACAAGTCAAGTCACAAGTCACAAAAGTAGCGACTCGAGTCCGACTCGAGTCCAAGTCACATGACTCGAGTCAGCAACTCTGGCGGATACTAGTCTTTTCTTCAGATTGGAGCGCAATCATTTTATCTGTCGGATTCCCTTGACCGTCTTTTTCAGGCAGAAGAAGAATGACCAACGAAGCCACTCTGTGGTACGTCCCAACAAGCATTAAGACACTCGGCAAGGTGCTCTCCATCCCCAAGATCAGTTACGCATCCGCGGAGGCGGAGGAAGCCGGCTGGGAGCGATATCGCAAACAGAAGGCAGCTCGAGAGAGGCAAGGCTTAGGGAGAACAGTCAGCATGAGCATGGAAGAAATCGATGAACTGAAAAATATGGATAATAGTAAGTTCAATCATTCAAAGTTGTGTTTCCAGTGCTCTTCAACAAATCCAATTGTGTTTTTTCTATTAATAAATTTTCAACTTGTATGTTTTATTCCAACCCCCAAACCTCATTTTTTCCTGTTTTTTGGAGTTCTGCAACTCTCTGAAATAATAAAAAGGTTTTTGTTTTGGACACAAACAGATCCGCTATGTGAGCAGACTTGCCTCGGGTCCGTACATTATCGATACTGATAGTAGGGCAGGAACCAGCCTACCCAACAAGAACACGAATTATTGTCTGGTAGCCAATAATTCACAATTAATTCAATAACTAAACATGGGCCAATTTTTGCTTTTCCGCTTAAAAGCGGAAAAGCATTGTTTTTTGTTCTGATTTTTTTTCTTCTTTTTTTCCCCGTTTCTTTTTGTTCTAACCCAAATCCCATAGACTTTGTACATGTTTTATTGACCGCGGCACTTTGGATCTAAAACAAACTCGTATTCTAATGAAACTTGTCCCATGTAAAGACCCCATAGTGACATTGTGTCCCGAAGAGTGACGTCACGATGACGTCATCACGGGTCACGTGACGTCATCTTAAATGTGCAAACTTTAAGACCCTTTATCTAAAGAACCGTAAGTCCGATTGGGTTGAAACTCGGGATGTAGGTAGACCGGGATGTGTTATAGACGAAAATTGAGGTGACGTCATCATGACGTCATCGTGTGCTTTTATATAGATTTTCGAAGTTTTGGACCTTTAATGCATATCTCACCAACCCAATATGTTAAATTCAAAATTCTTTTTGTATTATGTTTGTTAGATAACAGATATATTCACAAAATTGTGAAAATTGTGTGACGTCATTATGACGTCATCAAAAATGCTATTTTTAAAACACATATAAGGGAATGTCCAATCGCCACGAAAACTTGGTGGGTGGGTAGATAATAGTACTAGTACACAAAATCTTGAATGACGTCACGATGACGTCATCGGTAGATTTGTTACGATTTTTCTAATATTGCCAATTTTATTCTGCTGACAAAATTCAACACCTTTATTAATCCGATTGTTTTCAAACATGGTACAGACTAAAGCCACAATAAAATAATGAGCACTGCCAAGTATTGTTACGATGACGTCATCATTAGACATGTGACGTCATCGTTAACTTGTATATTTTAAGCCCCTATATCTCTTGAACAGTAAGTCAGATTGGGTTGAAACTTGGTTTGGGGGTAGGCCGGGATGTGTAACAAATAAATATTGAGGTGACGTAATCATGACATCATCTTGTGATTATATATATATTTTTTCACATTTTGAAGACTTTTGCCGTTTTTCACAAACGCAATATGCCAAAATAAAAATTCTTTTTCAATTAGGTTTATTACACAAAGGTAAATGCGCACAGTTTTGCACGAAACAGAAAAACATTACCTCAATTAAAAAAAACAATGCGGAAAAGCCCTATGTTCTGTTAAAAAACAGAAACAGAGCTCTAGTTTTGTTTGATGTTCTTTTAAAAAGTGAAAAATATTTGTATTGCTAGAAAATATAGCAATTATTTTTCGGGATGGAAGTCAAAAATAGCACGGGAAACGCAACTTTAAAATACCCTGGAATGGTAAATAACCTAGGAGACTTTTAATTTATTCTCCCTAGAAATTCTAAGCAGTGGTCTGCCATCTTGTCGTCTCTTTACAGGTATTGAAGAACACTCAGTACCCTTTTCTCAATCCAGTCTGATCCATCTGGCTGGGGTTACTGATTGTAACTTTGCCGGTTTTGTCAACGGCGGCGTGACTATGAAACTGATGGACGAAGTGGCTGGCATCACGGCATTTAAACACTGCAAAACGTCGGTGGTGACAGCCTCCATGGATGCCGTCAACTTTCACGAACCTATACCACGAGGTACAATAGTATACAAATATTCAGTGGCTCAGTGTGGGATGGGAGGAATACTATTGCAAGGTAAAATCTGGACTTTTCGCCTCGTGAAATTGAAAAGTTTAGATTTTACCGAGCGATAATATTCCTCCCATTTCACAATTTAAAGCCACTCAATTTTCTTTTTTTTTTATAACTGACATACAGATCCTTGTCATTTGATTTACAGTTAAATGAACTTCTATTTCAATAAAAGATTCACAGAATGTTTGAACCCAACTCTGTAGCTACTGGCTCTTGGGAACAATACGCTACGCGTTACGCTCAACGCGCACACCAGTATGCATTTGCACACAAATACCACGTCATGGAACAAGGATGATCCTAACTGTTGAATAGTAAATCCCATTCCCCATGGGTGAATGGGACTTTTTGAGCCCCGGCGTGTATGGGAGCAATAATGAATGTCACGTGATGTGAGTTCCACCAATCGAATGACAAGGATCTGTATGTCAGTTATATAATATACAAATATAACACGGTTTGAAGGGAATAGTCAAAATTGTTGGACTGGTGGCATATTTCATATATTACACCTCTAATATATTTAGTTTCATTCTCAAAAGTGAAAAAATCCATTGGTCGTCTTTCGTAAAAGTTTTAGTATGGTACCACCAGCAACCTCACTTGCGATCACAGCTGTTGCGTAGTTGGGAGTCTAGGAGCTAGTCGTGGACTACTATTTCCCTGGTACTACCGACCAGTTGGTAGTGCTGACCAGTTTGGAATAATTTAGTATTTAATTACTCGAAACTGTGTTTGACCGAATATTTGGATATTCGAATCTGCCAGCTGCAACTGCGTACTGCACCGGTAAAAAGTTGCAAGAAGAGCGCGCCAGTTAAAATTTGCGTGCAGCGATCGAAATGGGGCACTGCAGTGTTTTGCAGTTGAATACTCATCTGGAATTCATAACTTTTGTAAAATTTTGGGTGGCATGGGTGGCTAGTGCGTAAAGCGCTTGCCTCTCACCTCTGTGGCTGGGGTTTGATTCCTGTCTCGGACCATGATGTGAGTAGAGTTGTTCTTTGATTCTCTCCTGTGCCATGAGGATTTTTCTCCGCCTTCTCTGGTTTTCCTCCCTCCGCAAAAATCAACACTTTCAATCTCTGGCTGTGTCCGTGGTCATACATGAGTTGTATGGCAGCTGCCAAAGGTGCCTTTACATGCCTTCAGCTCGACCATGTTGTAGCCGCGTCCTTCGCAATTCAGCTTCACAGCTGCGAGTAAGGATGATTAGCCCCCAAATTATCATTATTATTTAGTGACAAATGTTATTTCACGTTCATTGCAGGTTCAGTGATGCATGTCATAGGACGCCCTACTTTCACCAGTAAACATTCCATTGAGATTGAGGTATTTGTGGATATGGAATCCATGTTCCATGGTCATGCGTCCAAGCAGAGAGCCGTCCACGCATTCTTCACTTACGTATCGCTCGGTGACAAGAAGCAGGTACTACCAGTCCAACAACTCAAGGTAATCATTTTTTAACCCAGTTAAAGGGACAACCTAACTCCCCAGACCTTTTTTGCAAGGTCGTAACCTCAATCCTGCACAATCCTCCAATTGGCCTCGTGGAAAAATAGCATATAGCCTCAATCCTGCAAATTCCTCCATTATTTTTTGAATATGGTCCGTGGAGGGGTGACCACTGCCTGAATCCTGCAAAATACGTCCTGGAGCAGTACGGAGGATTTCAAGCATAATCCAGGCCTATATTTATGCATGGCTGAGCAAAAACAATACAAGGTCCGGCCCAAGACCTTGACAAAGTGCATCCTACGAAATCAGCGACGCACTTTTGCCATGTATCCTCAATCCTCCAAATTCCTCCACTTTGGCAAAGAGGATTTTGAAGGATTCAGGGCGGTTTAGGGTAAATTCCTGGAATGCACCCAATGCTGCAAAACGTATTTGGTATGAATTGATATTAATTAGAAAGAGCATTTAAAAGTAGGATATAAACATCCACACAACCATCCTTTAAAAAACCCAGGTGTTTTTGTGTTATTCTGGCAAGAACAAATTTTGCGGGTCAAAGTTTTGACTCTCAAAAACCGAGCTGTTGGGTGCTAGTCGTGAATCCTGCCGCACATGTTCCATCAGTGCATAGCATTCTGCGGACATGCGAGAAACAAAAATTGTGAATTTGTGCTGTGTGTATTAATGTGTCACACACACAACGTGTAGTGTACTATGAATGGACAAGGCTTAAAATACGCATACATATGCTACAAAATGTCCACCGCCGATGTAAACGATCAGGCTTTTTCGTCTTTCCTCGGGATCGGTAAGACATTAGGTTGTTTTGGGGACTTTGTTGAAATGCGATGAAATCGGACAATAGGTGGCGCTCTAGCAGCACGTGTCTCTTTATTCTTATTTGTGCCAAGCCATTCATAACAACGATCCCGGCCAAAACTTGCTGGGGCCCAACCCCCGGCCCCCGGTCAATGTTGTCTCTCATTGCGCGGTCTGTGCTCAAGCGCGAGATGACAACATTGACCGGGGGACCGGGGGACCGGGGGAGGGTATGCTGTTGTGTGGACATGTCGCAACCATTTTGGCCAGGATTGTAGACTTATATGCCATTGCATGTGGAAATTTCCTTTTCTTTTGTCCACTCATTCACAGGTACAGTCAGAGGGTGAAAAAAGCAGATTTCAGGAAGGTTTAGCCCGGTATCAGGAACGCAAACAAGCGAGATCAAAGGAGAAAGCCGCGGCCCAACATCTTGCCAAGTCCTAAAACTCAGCATTGAACATATTACAACAAATGGTAGCTAATAAGTGAGACACATTCTAGTATTATGTTACATTGGGGAGACAGGTCATTTTGCTGATGTTTTAACCAGCAATTTTAGAACAAAATGTTATTGTTGCGAGTTGCTTTAAATGGTTTTGTAGTTTGAGAATAGTATAATTAACAAGTTCTTACAAATGGGGTTATTTGAAGGTGTTTGTTTACGCACAAGTTTATTGGAATGTTTCGCTATTATATACCATTTTGGGGTATTATTAGACTGTAATTATTTGTATCAATGGTATTTTCGGTACTACAAGACTGTATAATTTCTGATGTTTTTTTGTAAAAAAAATTATATTGGATAAATTGCTTTAGAACTAGAATCATCAAACACTTTGCCATATCCATTTAGAATTACTTGCAATGTCCCAATTTGGACTAACTTAAAGGGAATGTACATCATTGGCTTTTGCTGTAATTTTCAGAAATGAACTATTTGAGGGGTTAGTATAATAGATCAAATATTGTTACACTGACATGTTTGAAGTTTTGTGTTCGAAAATGCTGGAAAAACCAAGAAAAACAGAAATGTTCAAGTAGTCTGGTTCCCTGACTCCACTAAAGATGAAATGGATCAATTATAAATGCCTGAAAATTGTAAGGTAAGGGAACCAGTCTAGCTGTCCTGCACCCGTTCATGAACATGTAACCAATAGCAAACACAATTTGGACTGAAACAGATGGTAAATTTTGAGCCGTAGTTGAAAAATAGTTAGGTTTTTCCAACGGTGGTCGGCCGACCACTGTAGGAAATGTATACAAAAATACCATTTTCTTGAAAAAGACCTTACACCAGGTGCCATAATTTTACAGGATGCTTCAGACTGCCATTTACCAACATCCTAGTAAGGTATTTCGTAAAAACTTGGTAGTTTTATTTTTCGATGTTTGCAAATGTTGTATTTTCCCTTTAAGATCGAGGTACTTAGGTCTAACGATCTGGATGAAAATTGAAATTTCCCATTCAAATCTGAGGTAACATGCGTCACGGTGAATGAATAACATTGTACAGTTTTATGCAAATGTGCTTCCAAGACGTGACCCGACTCGGCCTCGCATATCATTATGTCATGGCGAGCGCTTCTTGCCTGCATAATTTGAGGGTGAAATCTGATGTTTTTGATGGGTCGTTAAATTGAAAGTTGATGCCGGCTATCTAACTTGGACCCTAACTATCGGCAGACCATGTCCCAATTTGGACCAACTAAATTTGGTTAAGTGTGGGCAGCATTAGAAAAAAGTCAACTACCACAGTATCTCTTAATATAGCTCTACCACAATATGAACTTAATAACGGTGTTGTAGTGCTCGTACTCGAGTACTCGTACTTGAGTACTCGTACTTGTCTTGTACTAAAATGTCAAAATACTCGTACTCGAAATGACGGTACTCGCACTCGGGCAGCAAAGTACTCGTACTCAACATGTCGAAATTGTACTCGATCATCAAAGTACTTGTATTCGAAAAGCAGTACTCGAAAATATGGTATAGCTTGACCTACCACGGCCATATGTTTTCTTGATACTTTCAGTTGGAAATGGTTGATATTGGCTTGCAGAGAAATCAAATTTTCCTGATTTTACTTTGTGCACGTCCGGACAAACACATTTAACAGCTAGCCATGAGTGGGTCTGTATATCAGTCTGACTGGGCCTGAGTCAATTTCGCACAGTGAATCATTTGCGGTATAGCTGTATTCGGAAATAGAAGTACTCGTACTCTGAATACCAGTACTCGTACTCAGAGACATGGACTTGTACTCGAAAGTACAGGTACACGCACTGGTACTCGTACTCAGTAACCTAAGTACTCGGCAGTACTCAGTACTTGACTACAACACTGCTTAATAGTATATCTCAGGGCTAGAATTTTAGTCCATTTTTGATGTGTGTTTATCAGTACTCAAGTGACTGTCCAAGTAGTGCAGCTGGGAATACTGAATGTGAAAAACAACTGAACAACATAATAAACTGAAATGCTAAAACATAAGTCATGATATTTTTAGTTTGTTTCCCTCATAATTGTATAACAGTTAAATATTTACCACGATTTGTATTATGTGTTCATAGAATGTTCATAGTTCAACATTTATTTCTGCAGTACCAATAATATTTATATAATAGACATTGCCTGTATATACGTATATCTGTAGTGATTGCCAAAGATTGAGTCATTAAGCCAAAGGCTTCCGTTAGACCAGTGATAAAAAGCAATAATACATTTTATCCCATTGATACACATTTTTGAATTGTTAATTTCACGGAGACAAAATGCAATGTGCTCCACTAAATGATATTCAGAAAAGATATATTAGAAAAGAAAAGATATTCAGAAAAGTGTCACTTTCACATGGTTTTTAACATGTTTAACATGAATCTTTGTGAATGGGAGTTAGTAATAATAATAATAAATTGGGAAGCTATTCATCCTGGTATGCTGAGTTGCGAAGGACGCGTCTACAACGTGGTCGGGCCGCTGGCACGTAAAGGCGCCTATGGCTGCCGGCCACATCGACCCATATATGACCACGGAGCACAGCCTGAGATCGAAAGTGTTTGATTTTTCCGGAGAAAAACCCTCGTGGCACAGGAGACAACCAACGCACAACTCTACTCACATGTGATCCGCGGCCAGGATTCGAACCGTGGTCACCTTGGTGAGAGGCGAGCGCTTTACGCACAAGCCCCCCATGCCACCTTGTCAATATCTCTTTTTCAGTACTATTGAATACAGTTTGAATGTTTGGAAAAAATGCCTTTTTTTATTCTCACCACAAAAAAAGTGGGGGGGGGGGAGGACTGATCCAATAGCCCTTACCCTCCCCCCCCCTTAAATAATTAATTTATTAATGTTTGGTCCACATGTTGCAGAAAAAACAAGTTAAAGAGCACTAGTGGATCGCCCCCCCCCCCCGTTTTTAATTGAAGGCGGTTTTTAAATAAATGTGCCCGCGTGCACCCTTTTTTCATAAGTACTTTGTATACAGTTTACATGGTTTAGCAACAGATCCAGTTACGAGACCCCAAAATGTGTGCAAATATTTACTCTGGTTTCTCAAAATGTTTGCACCCTGTTCATGATTTTGAGCAATTATTTTAAATTTGTTGCTTCAAAAGGAAAATAAACCTTCGTCGAGTGAGAGGGTGCACGTGCAATTTTGCACGTACGTTCCAAACCCCGGCATCGATCTGTATCTGGCTCCATTCATGCTGGACCCGAATACGGAGCCAAAGTCGGGGTTTGGAAAACGGCAGCTTTCGCGCGCCGCGCGGTACCTGCGAGTATGTCACGAGTTTGCAATCGATTCTGGCTGAAACAGTTCGGAACCAGTCTACAATTAATGCAAGATGGCAGAGAATGCGAACCAAGATCCGATGGAAACTGGTAAGCTCGAAGAACTCTTACTGCTGTTTTCATCCGTCACTTTTCTATTTGTGAATACCACTATTAAATTGAAGCAATGTACCATTGAGACGATACCCCTAGAACTATGGGGTCCTACCATAAGACGCCCGTCAATGCCCGTAGTTCAAAATGTTCAGTCTGCTTTGTTCCGCGTCGTAAATTGAATTGTGTGCGGGGGGGGGGGGGGGATTATTGGCGATCGTGAAGTGTAGGGCCCTGTTTTGTTTTGATCAAATTAGAGTCAAAAATGGGTTTTATTGCTCAAAAATCACCTCTACAATCAAAAACAGACTTTTCTCAATTCTAATGACACCTATTTTGCAATTTTAAACAGATTCTTGGGGTAGAAATCATGATTTTCCTGCGCGGTTGGTGCCTTGCGATTCAGCGCGCTGTGCGTGCTCACGGTAGGCCTACATCGCGCGGCGATTGCCATCTTTTTTTTCGGGTCGCGTGTTGTCGCCGCGCTGTCGTCGTCATTTTACCCCCAAATTTCTTGGGAGCCATGACTCGGAAAGAAAAAAATTAAATGCACGATAACAGGAAGAAGACTGCGAAACTGCAAAAAAAAATTAAAAATTGCACTCAAGCATCTATATCATATGTATCCTATCGAGCAACTGAACCATTTCAGGAATTACTCACACAAGAGCTGAAAAATGTGGGACCGGTTCACGGTACCACAAACATTTCCTTGCAGTAATCATCTGTTGAATCTGTTTTCAGTGTTTATTTTTTTGTTCACTGTTCAATGTTTACTTTTTGTTCTCTGTGTTACTTCAGGGCAGTTTGTATCTGACGAGGATTCAGAGGAGGAGTCGCCAGGCCCTGGGGTGGAGGAAATCCCCGCTGAGAATATACCACCACTTGAGCTCGATCCAGATGATATCGTAAGAATCAAGCAACATCTTTAACCCAAACCTTTACTATTAACCCTAACCCACCTCACTCCTCCAAAATCCTCCTGGCGGTTTTGGAGGATTCTAGAGGATTGAGGATGAATGGTGATTGAATCAAATGAGGATTCTGGAGGATTGAGGATGAATGGTGATTGAAGCACATGAGGATTTTGGAGGATTGAGGATGAATGGTGATTGAAGCACAAGAGGATTTTGGAGGATTGAGGATGAATGCATTTTGAGGCAGGACTGTCTGATGATTTTGAAGGATTTGGCGTTGGTTATCCTTCATTTAAACACGAGTGCAAAGTTTTGGGATGAGGAGGATTTTGGAGGATTGAGGATGAATGCATTTTGAGGCAGGACTGTCTGACAATTTTGAAAAATTTAGGCGGAGTTGCAAAATTTTGGAAAATTTTGGAGGATTGAGGATGGTTGTAAGCAACAAGGGCCTAGGGGGTTAGGGTTAACCTTCCCAAATCCTCCAAATTCCTCTATGCAAAATGGAGAATTTTGCAGGATTGAGGCTATATGGTAAAAATGTGCAGCTGATTTGGGAGGATGCACTGTGTCAAGGTCTTAGGCCGGACCTTGTGTTGTTTATGCTCAGCCGTGCGTAAATTTAGGCCAACATTATTCTTGAAATCCTCCGCACTGCTCCAGGCTGTCACTGGCTCCGTCTTAACATACTGACAGTGATTGCTGGAGGATTTTGCAGGATTAAGGCAGCGGTCACCCCTCCAAGGACCACATTCAAGAAAAAACCGATTATTTTGCAGGATTGAGGCTGTATGCAGTTTTTACATGGAGGCAGTTGGAGGATTTTGCAGGATTGAAGTTACATCCTAGCAAAAATGCCCAGGGAGTTAGGGTTAAAAACGTAGAATAGCCACTGATTTAAAACTGCCACGAATTAGTTGTTATAAAATGCACCTTAATTTTTTGTGAGCAATTTTTAGCCGGTCTTTATGTCACATGTTAATACACCGCTACGTGATCGAGTCTTGACCAATCAGAAGCTATCAACTCTCCAAGGTATTTATTATTGAACTTCAACATTGCTTGGTAATTTTATACTGAATATTTTTCTGTGATTTTCTTTGTAGGATGTTGATCTGAACCACAGGCGGATTGACAGGATTCAAGGACTTCATGTGCTAAGACAAGTCGAGGTGTAGTACTTTTTTTTCTATTTCTGACCTCTTGTAGCTGGGTTGTCTTGGCACATTACAGTGGCACCCTACTGGCCAGTGTTTTTCTGTCACATTTTTTATTATCAACAAGATCAAGGGAGGAGGGTGTTAGGCTGTTGGTCATCTCTCCTCAGTAGAATAACATCCCTCTATTTCATATTTTGGGTTCCAGACACTGTGTTTACGTCAAAATCTGATCAAGAAATTGGAGAATTTGGAGACATTAACCACACTGACGGAGCTTGATATCTACGACAATGACATTACTACCATCGAAAACCTTGATGCACTTGTCAATTTGAGGTAGGCGAATTCACAAAAAATCCTGTCTAAAGTTTAATCAGAGAGTAAATATTTGGGCAGTTTTATGGTGTTGGACAGACATTTTTGATGATTCAACATTGTGCCTATTCAAAAGTTTTAATCATAAAGTGTATTTTAATTCTGATCAAACATCAGTTTATAGTTACTACAATGATATCAATAACAAGTTATTTATCCATTTTTTTTTGTAGTAGAAATCGGCTCAAAACACCATGGTGTCAGACATACTCAGACAAATTGATTATTTTGTGTACTTATCAATTACTTTTTCAGTTAAAAGTAAGAGCTGAACTCAATATCAGGTTTTGCCCTCCACCGACGTATAAACACTGTATACTCAGTCTGTTATCTCCAGAGTGAAAGTTGGAAAAAATCACTCATGTGGGACTTGAACCCACGACCTCCTGCTTTCTAGTGCAGACGTCTTACCACTCGACCACCGAGCTTGCGGGATCGGTTGGCTGGTTCGAATCTGATGTACATGTAGCAGCGGGTACCGCAATTGGAACTATTCATAAGATGGAATTTGCATCGGGGTGATTTTAATCAAAAGGGCAAAACTGATATTGATTTACATCACCCCGACGCAATTTCCATCTCATGAATTACAGCTGAACTGTTTGTTAAAAATATACTGTATTTTGATAAAATACAGATAATAAGCTTCAAAATCATATAGGCTCCGTGCACAAGTGCCCCATCAACGGCCAGAAAAGGAAAGTTGGGGTGACCTAGACTGGTTCCCGATCCATCCACTGCGTATTACGAACGTATCCATAGTTATTGGAGGCGGGGATTAGTCTCGGAGACCATCGCACGTTGAATTCGAACGTATTCGCATGCCAACGACGCCTGACGCTGCACATCAATCAGCACAAAAAAATTGGCCAAAAAAAAAAAATGCTGATTTTACCGACCCTATTTTTGAAACGCATGTGATCGGAAGCAGAACTATTGGTTTGTTTTTTTTGGCCTTATCTTGCAGGGAATTGGACTTGTCGTTCAACAAGATCAGGAAGCTAGAAAACCTCGACAGCTTAGTGACTCTTGTCAAGCTGTTTGTCATCAACAACAAGATCTCCAAAATTGAAAACATCGGGCAACTCACCCAACTGACCATGTTGGAGTTAGGCGACAACCGAATCAGGGTACGTCTAGAAGTCTTCAATGTGATAAAAATGAAATTTAATTCAGTTAAGGTTTTTTTTTTTAAGGGCCCGTGCAAGTTTTATTTTGTTGAGGTGTTTTTATATCGTGTGAAGTTACCTGTGAATGCATGTGTGTCTAAATGATTTAAATATGTATTATAACTGAAATGTTTTGTTTTTAAATTTAAATACTTGTCATGTCCGGTGGAGCTCTGTTAGTCATGTTCTAGGTCTGTGAAAGTATGTTTCCAGTAACTTGGTTTGGATTGATTTTTTGTTGTTGATTTTTTTGATTTTTTTTGGATTTTATAGGAGCTTTTAATGTTTAATGTGCATTGCTATTTAAAAGTTTTAATATTTCAAACTCAAATGTAATTTAAATATCTTTCAAAATGTTTTTTATCCAACCATTTTAGATGCTTTGGTTGCTAATAATAATAATTAATAATTAACAATGCACTTTTTTAATGTGATCCTTGAAAATACACCTTTGTGTCTCATTTATCCTCATTTGCAGTTTTCATTTTGCCGTTTTGAAGGGTATTTTGGTGTTTTTTTTTTGTTTTTTTTTTGCTGATGCAATTTACATATTCATGAGCAAAACACTGATGTCATTCTGGGCAGAAACCTCAATGTTACAGCTATTTCAGCACAAAAAGAATTTTGGATATTTCGCTGTCGTAATTTTTTTTTTTTCTTTTATGATTTATTGTGTCAATACATGGCAGTAACCCAATGAGTACATTTTTCATACAAATTTTTTTCAGTAAGCAAATTTTGGGTTCACAATTTTGAACAGAGAACCCCCAAACTGAACGGTGTCTTTCTGAAATGACATCACAGCAACAGCGCCCTCAGTTGTCCGGAAAAGCATGGACAATTTTTAAATATTTGTGAATTTGTAGTGTTTTTAATGACATGATTATGAAGTGTTTAAATGTCATGATTATTAGAATGAAAGTGAAATCTAACCTGGACAAAATGTTAAAATATTTGGGTGTTTTTGTTTTTGACCAGAAACTTGAACATTTGGAGGCATTGGTGAACTTGGACAGTTTATTCGTGGGAAAGAACAAGATTACAAAGCTAGAGAATCTTGGTTGTCTGAAGAAACTGCGGGTACTGAGCATACAGGTAAGAAGAACATTCTGGGGAACGTTCATTCAGAAAAGTTCTACCTGGTACTTTCTCTGGTTTGTAATGATCATAAACATCATTTGCTTTTGCTGTAATTTTCAGAAATGGATGGATTTGGGGGGTAAGTAGTTTATATCAAATATTTTTACCCCGACCTGTTTAAAATTTTGTGTTCATACATGCAGACGTTGGAAAAACCAAGATAAAAATACTGTTCTTGTAGTCTGTTCCCTGACATCCGCTTCAGACAAAATGGAGCATCTTATAGATGTCGGTGAATTGTCAGGTCAGGGAACCAGACTAGCTGGCTTGCACCCATTCATGGAGGTGTAACCAATTGTAAACAAAATATGGGCTAACTAAATTTAGCGTGCAGTGTGTGAAAAAAAGTCAATTACAAAAATTCCACTTTTTTGGGAAATGACAGCACACCAGGTGCCATGATTTTACAAGATGCTTGAGACTATTATTCACTTACAGTCAAGTAATGTATTTCATTATAATTTTGTAGTTTTTTTTTTTTATGTTTGTAAATGTTGTATAACCTTTCAGATACATGTACATACATGTACACATGCAGTCTTATCTGAATATCATACACAGTGCTCAGATGCAGGACTGCTGTAATTATGTGCCTAAACGCTGATGAATAGTATTCTAATATACTTTCCAAATTAGATACTAATGAAATTGAAGAGACGTACATGTACTGTTTAACCATGTCTTAAAGGGAATGTACAACATTTGCTTTTGCTGCAAGTTTCAGAAATAAATGGATTTGGAGGATTAGTGTGTTATAGCAAATATTGGTAACATGACTTGTTTCACGATTTGGGCTTGTAGATGCTGGAAAAACCAAGAAAACTAATCATGTTCTTGTAGTCTGGCTCCCTGACCCCACTTAAGATGAAACAGAGCAATTTATAGACTTTTGGGAATTGTAAGGTCAGAGAATCAGTCTAGCAGGCTTGTACCCCTTCACAGGTGTGTAATCAATTGCAAAGAAAACGCGGAATAACTAATTACAAAAAAATTGGGAGCACTTTTTGAAAAAAGCAAGTTTTCTCCAACGCTGGTCGGCCGACCAGCATTGGAAAAATCCTCTTTTTCTTGAAAATGACAGCACACCAGGAGCCACGATTTTACAGAATGCTTTAGACTGTCATTCTCTAACAATCCAGTAAGGTTTTTCGTGATAATTTGATCATTTCATTTTGTGATGTTTGCAAATGTTGTATCTTCCCTTTAACCCTTACCCTCCTCAGTCCTCCAAAATCAACCAATCAATTTTTGAGGATTTTTTAGGATTGAGGCTGTATGCCTGTTAAGTGCCATTTTTTTTTGAGGATGCGCATTGTCTTAGGCAATTCCTTGCATTGTTCGTGTTCAGCCGTGCATAATTGAGGCCTACATTATACTGGATACCATCCACACGGCTTTAACGTATTGTTGGAGGATTTTGAAGGGCTGAGCACCCCTGCATTGAACAAATTCAAGAAATAACAAATGTGAGGCATTCTCCTAAAATGAGACAGAACTGGGCATTGGTTGAAATGAGAGTTTGAAGGTGTTACTCTCGTTACATTACTGTTTGTTGCACTTCAGTCGGACATTCTGTTGACAAGTTATGGCTGTAAACCCTAACTCCCTAGGCATTTTTGCTAGGATGTAACTCAATCCTGCAGAATCCTCCAACTGCCTCCATGTAAACATTGCACACAGCCTCAATCCTGCAAAATCCTCCGTTATTTCTTGAATGTGGTCCTTAGAGGGGTGACCACTGCCTCAATCCTGCAAAATCCTCCAGCAATCACTGTCAATATGTTGAGGCAGAGCCAGTGACATCCTGGAGCAGTGCGGAGGATTTCAAGTATAATATAGGCCTAAATTTATGCACGGCTGAGCATAAACAACACAAGGTCCGGCCCAAGACCTTGACACAGTGCGTCCTTCAAAATCAGCAATACACTTTTGCCATGTAGCCTCAATCCTGCAAAATCCCCCCATTTTGCAAAGAGGATTTTGGAGGATTTGGAAAGGTTTAGGGTTAAAGTTTGCATTTATCGCCATGTCAAAAAAGTAAAACACTGGGAAAAAGACCTGTAAAGTATCGACTGTTGTAGTTGTGAAAATGAAAGATGCCAATTATTTTTCCTTAAAAATACTTTTATTCCACAATTAATATACTATTTCTTTAAATATGTGTAGCAGACATATGAAAAATTACAAGTATCGATAAATCAGAAAATTGGGAGACAAAAATTACCCCATTCTTTGTTTTTACGGCCTGTACCCAGTTCAGTCTCATTTTGCCCGAACGCCTCACAAACTTTTTTGAAGGATTGAAGCAGAATCCAATTTTTACATGCAATTGGAGGATTTTGCAGGATTGGACCTAGAGGGCTCAGTTGATGTTTCATTTACGCAGAAACAAAAGTGTTAATGTTAATGTGTTAGATGACGTGACAGTCAAAATTGAAAACAGAGTTTGAAATTAAAAAAATGTAAAATAAATTGCTTTATCAAAAAGCACATCTTCCCCAGCTTCAAAACCTACCAGCTTTGAAGAATAAATTGTGCTCCTTAAATCAAAATAAAATGCAAACACAAAAGCAGAAATTTATTGTCCTGATTATGGGGCCACCATTATTACTTGCCGGTTTTATACACTTCCTGACAGTGTTCAAACAATGGTTAAGACTACCCATGTGACAGGCTCTCGACCAATAGGAATAGGTAAATTGTCTCAGGTATTTATGAATGAATGTTCAATCATGCTTTGTTTCAGAGTAACCGGATCGTCAAGCTGGAGGGCCTTGATGAACTGACAGATTTGGAGGAGTTGTACATAAGTCATAACGGCATTCAGAAGATTGAGAACCTAGAACAAAATGTAAGTTGGAAGCAATACGTCAGGCTTGGCCAAGACCATGGTTGAGAGACTCTATATTTCCAAAAATCAGTCAATTGGCTATAAATCATTGGAAATTGCCTACATTTCTGGATAACTTCTAAATGACAGCAAGCCAGATGGAATAATTTCACAGGGTGTTTAGTACAAGTACGATCTTTAATCCAAGTAAGCTTCTTGCTAATGAAGGTTACATTTAGGATAAATGCAAGTGATCTTATGCCTTTAAATGAAATTCCAGTTGTGTATGTTTGCATACTATGCTTGACCCTCCTATGCAAACATACATTCTGTGCCAAGTTGTCCTTGCATTCAAACTCAATCACGTCAGCAGTAAAGAATTCCCAGCCCACATAAAGCAGGATTGACTGGCTGGGACTGCTTAAGTAACTTGATACAGCTATGCTTTGACTCCGGGTGAGTGATAAAACAGCTGTGATCACAACTTGCCTGCTCTGTCTGTTGACCCAGTTTGACTAGTCACAGTGCTTGCTTGACATATGATCTGACTGCTGGTGACTAGCCTTTGTTAAAAGTATAGCAGGGGAAGTGGAATTGAATTTTGACTGTCTGTGACTGTTTAAATAGCAGGAGGGTTAATTAACTGATTGACCACTTTATTGTGCAGGTCAAACTCAACACATTGGATCTTGCCGGCAACAGGATATCACGCTTGGAAAACATCAGCCATCTGATACTGCTGGAAGAGTTTTGGGTGAGTTGGGATCAACTTTATCAATACATTTGTCATAAAATCTGATATTAAAAATATTGTCACTGATTTTCAGGAAACGTCAAACTAAGGCGTAACTCCACATATGCCCTATTTTGTTGCATAAGATATTCACTTGTATATGCACGTTACTTTCCCGATGTGCAGGCATGCACATGCCAGTTGACTTTTTGCTTTCATGCAATTTGTATATGTACAAGTGCAAATCTCAGTTCTTAAATGTTCGGAACACTGGTTTCGAACATCAATGTCTTTCGTCAGAATTGTTTTTTGCACCATGAAAGTTATCACTAAATAGCCCCCAGAATGACAAAAAAAAATGCAGTACATGTTCATAAGGAAACAAATATTTAAGATCGACGTACGATGCTTTAAAAAATGGGAATCTCCGTACGGTACACCGCAGTACGGTGAGGGTGCCTGCGGTGGACTGCCATGTTTACCGCTAGAGCTACGATGTCCACCACGATGATGGAGAAAGGCTTCAAACCACGCGCAGCAAACTGGGCAAGTTGGACTAAGAGAAGGCTCTTTCCGCGCGCAATTTGGGCCAAGGCGGAATTTCTACGCGACCTAAGAAACTGAGATAAACCACATCGGTGTCTGAATGCTCGGTACAGTAACGGTGCCCCGTTTTTGACAACCAAAGAAAATGAAACAAGAAAGCAAAATATGATTCCCATCGATTTGGGCGATTCACAATGCAGTGCGCCACCAAGAGTTTGCCATGGAGAGTTCATTTTTCAAGTTTACAGTCGACAAAACATGGCCCATTTGGACGAGTGTCGGTAAAAGACTTGAGCTAATTTGTTATAGATTGGGGCAAAGCGTTCTGCCGCCTTACAAAAAAACTCCATATCAATAAAACGAAAAAAAAAGGGCAAACAGATACTTGAATCATTTGCTTACGAATGTTCTGGCCGTAAAAACTAACAATTTCAAATGTCCCACACTGCGAATTTGTCAACCATCTCCCACAATGCAGTGGGAAAAATTAACTCTCTGCAGCCAACTCTTGGTGGCACACTGCATTGTGAATTTATGAAAGACAAAATAAATAACAATTGGAGGAAAACTAAATGAGGGAAGTCAAAACTTACATGTTTAAGGATTCAGCCACAGCAGTGCAGGCCTTTCTACTGGTACTATTTGACTACAGTTACAGAACAACATGCTCGGCCAACGCCCAGTCTCTAATCCACACAAGTCGAAGGCACCCAAGGGTTTTTATAGTTAAGAGGCAACAATTAAAGGAATTTCCTAATAACAAAAAGTAGCCCACTTGAGAAAGAAATCGATTAACAATAGGGATCCAACCCAAAGTTGAGGGCGAGGTCTCTAATCTTCTGAAAAGTTCACTAATCTGCTTAAGAGTTCAAAGGCTCTTAATCCCTGTAGACAGCTCTAACAATCCAGTGTAGTGTGTAATTGTATGCAATGAGGTTAATCCACTCTACAGTCATAACTAGGGGCCCTGCTGGATGAGGCTATACAAAGGAAGTCTTAAAGTAATGTCAGACATTGCTATTGTACACCTGGTACAGATGGTTATTGTTTAATGTTACGACAGGCCTGTCTGAACAAAGCCTACATTGTCCCAGGTGGACTCCCTTTCCTCCCTACATTACGGAGGGAGTCCAGGGTATGAAGTGCTCAAAACTGGCCGAAAAAATTTATGACCAATATTTTCAATATATTTACCTTGTTGAAGAAGCTAATTTTTGCGTGTTTTCGCGACAGTTACCAGAAACATGTTTCGGCTTTGGTCATTGGTTGAGCGTTTTCGTGACTTCGGTTGGCCGGAGTGTCGTCACTGTTCCAACCAAAACTAAACAAAGGAGGGCGCTAGCGTGCTCGTGCGCTTTCGTATCACGTACATGACGTACGACTCGATGATAAACTGATGAAAAGAGACTACAAAAACGTACAAGTTTAACGTTGCTTTAGAGTTTATTTTCCTGATTTACGTCGGTCAGCATCACATATGGAATTCCTGAACCCCCCGGATCAATAGATAAGGACACAGAGAGTATGTAGGCGTGAAATAAGCTTCTATAACGAGGTAAAACATAACAAAACTCTGGTCCAAATTTTGGGTGGTCTTACGTAGAGAATTCTCGTCCTGGACGTCAGTCGTAATGCAATGAAGACTTCGTCCAACCTGGGCTAAGCCTACATCTATGTGTCCCTATGTTTCCAAATCTGGTATCTTTATATTAACGTACATCCAGTGTGAAATCTGGTACTGTATAACTGACGTACAGATCCTTGTCATTTGATTGGTGGAACTCACATCACGTGACATTCGTTATTGCTCCCATTCACGCCGGGGCTCAAAAAGTCCCATCCGCCCATGGGGAATGGGAAATACTATTGAACAGTTAGGATCATTCTTGTTCCATGACGCGGTATTTGTGTGCAAATGCATGCCAGTGTGCACGTTCAGCATATTATTCCAAAGAGCCAGCGCTACAGAGTTGGGTTCAAACATTTTCGTGAAGGGGTGGTTTGGAAGAGAGAAATACATTGTCCACCAATTATGTATTGAAAAAAAGTTCAAATATATCAAATGACAAGGATCTTTATGTCAGTCTAATAAAACAAATATTGAGTGACTTTAAATTGTGAAATGGGAGGAATATTATCGCTCGGTAAAATCTGGACTTTTCCAGTTCACTCGGCTTCGCCTCTGAAATGGAAAAGTCCAGGTTTTACCTTGCGAAAGTATTGTTCCTATTTTACTCTGAGCTACTCAATATTTGTATAATATTTTGTATTTGTTTGTTTATTTGTTTACTGAACAGTTTAACAGCAATCAGCTGGACCATTGGCCCGACATCGACCAGCTCAGGATTGCTACACAACTCAAGACGGTGTACTTTGAGCACAACCCCATCGCCAAGGATCACATGTACAGAAAGAAGGTACAACTTGCTCTTCCGTCCGTTACGCAGATAGATGCAACTTACACTAGGTAGATACACCATACAAGAGCCAGATATTATTCACTTGGATGTTGTTTGAGAATAGGTCTTTGTAAAAAGTAAAAAAAAAAATGTAGTATACTGATTAGGGATGACGTGTGTCGTGTGGACACATTTTAACTTCATACAGAAATTGTATATTTGTGTATGAAAACAGTTTCCAGAATGCGATAAAAGCCGTTTTGTTACCTTTTAGAATGTCGCCCTCTCCTGGTTAGCCAAAGTCAGTTTCGACAGCCGCTATGTAGCCGTACACAATTTGAGAATACGATAAAGCAAAAAATGAAGTATTGTTTTTATTCTTAAAAAGTTTCATAATCGTGCAAATGTTTCACTTTTTTTCAAATGGATATGTTGCGTTTGGAAATAGACTCTTAACTCTTCATATAAAGGCCAGACGAAACTTAGCTTGAATACAAATATGCGAATTTGTGACGGCACGGCAAGTATTTTCAGTGTGAATTTACAAAAGTTGAACACATTGGAACTCTGGCGAATTTCGCAGCGAATGTCGACGAATGTTTACGCTATGGCGTAACTCCACTTACGCTACAATTTATCGCGTAACTCCACTTGCGCTATAATTTATCGCGTAAGTTGCGCAACATTTCACGTTCGCAACATTTCAGTCACGACACGTTTCACGAAAGTTTCACAGTTCTTAAGTCTGCTAGTTACGCAAACAATTATGGTGTGACTTTGTACGCAATAGTTTAGGTTGCGCAAGTTATGGCGTAGCGACTGAAAAGAATTATTATACTGACTTTATCGCGCGGCAGTGTTCGGTTGCGCATGTATCCAGAAATATGCAATATGTCGCGCCATTTTTTGGTCCATTTTTTTTAAAGCAATCAGTTCAGGCACAGGGTACAGGTGAAACGTGTGCGGCGTTTTTTCGTCGTGTGATAAAATCACTTCGAATTTGTTTTTAACAAATTTTGCGGTAAGTTACATGACTTAGTTGCGTAATGTAAACACATTCATTGATTTGTGCATAGTTATAAATACATGAGACATTGGTGTGACTTTATACGCAATAGTTTAGGTTGCGTTAACTGGTGTATGAATAAATATACCTTAAAAGGGCAAAACCTAATACATATTCAATTGCTGTACATTTGATATTCAGATGTACATGCAGGTTGTCCATTGATTATGCTTTTCACTTGTTCCAAATATCATATGCATGTCACTAATTTATAAGACAGTAGATTTGATTTGTTCTTCTGTTCAAAGCAAAGATAGCGTTGTCATCCGTTACTTAGAGATAAAGCTAGTATACAAATATTGAGTGGCTCTAAAGAGTGGAATGGGAAGAATATTATCGTAAGGTAAAATCTGGACATTTTTATTCTATTTTCAAGAGGCGAAGCCGAGTGAAATTGAAAAGCCCAGATTTTACCGAGCGATAATGTTCCTCCCATTTCACAATTTAAGGCTGCTCAATATTTGTTTTATATAACTGACATATAGATCCTTGTCATTTGATTTACAGTAAAAAAAATACTCGGTCTCTGGTCAGCGCGCGCGTCAATTTTAATCATGCGCGTCAACCTTTTTTTTTCCTTCAAATTAACACGGAAGCTACAACAGCGCCCTCTACTGCTGCGCCTCCTCAAATTTTTGTACCAAGAAGCACCAAGGAATGGGGGAATTGCACCAAGGCAAATGATAAAGGGCACCAAGGCAAATTATGGAGGACACCAATGTATAATGAGGACACAAAAAAGCAAAATAGTACCCACCTTGTCTGTACAATACAAGCTTGAAAAAAAAAAAAAGCCAAAAAAAAAAAAAAAAAAACGCGTCACTGCATCAATTCCGGAACTTCGGTCTGACCAGAGACCGACTATTTTTTGTTGTTGGCCTAATCCTAACTGGTGAATAGTAAATCTCGTTCACCATGGGCGAATGGGACTTTTTGAGCCCCGGCGTGAATTGGAGCAATAATGAATATGTCATATGATGTGAGTTCCAGCAATCAAATGACAAGGATCTGTATGTTGGTTATTTAAATCTCATTATTAAAGTGAGTGAGTGAATATCGTATGTAGGTAGGAAACCATTCTTCAATGACAGTGGTATAGCGGCAGGACGGTAGTGGGGGAAAACAAAAATGTTAGTAAATTAAAACGTGGCAATGCAGTCAACAATATTACATCCGGGAAATTCCAGCATTATGAAAGGACGTGTCATGTCCGTGACAGAGCCAATTAACCATGATATCTAATTAATGATTCAGAGAAATGATCCAAAACTCCTAGTCTGTAATCTCCTTGACCATTACTAGATGATGGATGTATAAGATTTGAAAAATTCAGATTTATTTAAAAGCTGTTGTAGACAGTACATAAGGCTGGAATTGCCTGTGTGTGTATTTTGAACAGTTCCCCAGTTTGAAATGTCTAAACCCCTCCTTCCCCCCTTTCCCCCCCCCCCCCCCCTTCCCGAAAAAAGAAGGAATTCTCGCTACTCTACTGTTGGATAATTGTAGATAGTTACTATTGTGGATCATTCATGTAGATGTTAATTTATACGTTTCTGTTTTTATCAACAAAGTTGACTTTTAGTGAAAGTTCATGGAATGGAACCGTTGCTTGCCAGTGTATACACTCGTTGATTGAACTACGTATGTTTTGTAATGTTTATTTATCAATTTATGCCGTTTACTCCAAAATTGACTGGAACAAAGTCGCACTTTGTTAACATGTGCGCTGTTCTATGGGAGCTAGGCGTGGTTCGAGAGCCAGCAAGCTCCCATAGGAAAGCGCACATGTAAACAAAACATGATGTCATGATACAGGTCTATTGTCCTGCGGCCATATTCATGAAACCTTACTAACTTAGCAACCATCTAGGCCTTAGTAGGATACTCAAATGCCTAGTAGTCTATTATGGAGTTGACAAATAAATTGTAATTCATGAAACCTTACTAAGAACCTTGCTTGGAATTTAGTTGCATACGTGAGTAACTGGAATTGGGTGCTTTTGGGAGGAGTGGGCATGTATGGAATGTGATGACAACAGATACAATAGTGTGACAGGTGTTTCAGGCTAATCCATGTCCAGCACTTGAGTGGATTTCATTTTTTTTAAGGATAAGGATGCAAACACTAACAAGAAAAAGAAAGATGCATGGGCAGCTATTCTCAGCCAACACCGTGCAAGATTTCCACAGGTTGAAAGATCATTGGATGATTTAAACATTACATTCTTTTGGCCATGCTGTCACGTCGGTGGTCGGTGATAAAATGATATAGTTACTAACTAGTGACTTAGAGTTACCCTGGATAAACACTAACTTTAGTAAGAAACTTAGAATGTAACTAACGCTAGTATTGTTTCATGAATACCAATTAGTAACCAACTAGGCTTAGGAAGGTTTCATGAATATGGCTCCAGGTTTGTTCAAATGCATTCAAATTGAAATCACACATTGCATTTTTGGGCATTATCTGACGACTGATGATCAAGATCAGTCACTTTAATGTTGCAAAATTCACAAATTTTGAAGATTATGTAGTCGTACCTTGGCGTCATAAAAATGGGCTTGGAGCAGATACTCCCAGCGGCTTTTGTTTTGCTTCTGGCTTTAAGCAGAGGCAGCGAGCAGCTTTTACATTTTTCAAGTTCACGGCTGAAACTCCCCTTATTTACTATTCGATGTTTCAAATATATAATCTTCAAGATTAGTCTATGTCTGCCAACTTAAAGTGACTGATCTTTAAGAGTACAGAACATCAACTTTACAATATTCCCATTGACAACTTGTGGTTAAGGTTGAAAGGAATTTACAGTATAAATGCTTGTGATCATAGGGTATTGCGTTGGATGATAAGGTATCATCCATCTGTGTTACAATATGCACAGCATTGGTGTTTCTACTTAGTTCAGAATTTAGTGTGTTGAATTATAATTGTGTTTGAATTAATACTCAAGATTGTACAGTGTTTTGATATGCTTTCTGTTTTGATTCATTCCATAGGAATTATTATTTTAAAATACATGTACAGAAATGTTTGACTTTTTCTGGGTTTTTTTTTACTATCATTACCTCTCCCTAAAGTAACCACAAACACAAACTTGGGCCAAGTTCGGGCAAGGATCATTAGTTGACTAGTGGTTGATTTGTGACGTACCTTACGCTTGCGCACTGATAGCAACGTGCGAACGTCTCTAGTCAAACGCTGGTAAAAATGTCATCGCAAAACTTCTGGATCCTGGCTCCCTGCTAGCGTTATGAGTGCGCGCGGCTATTGGTTACCAGCGATGCAACGAACCCCAGTAGGTTGGTTCCAAATAGTCGACTAGCGTAGTCAACCACTGTCGACTAGACCGAGTTCGGGCAAACGTTAGTTAACCATTGGTCAACTATAGTCCTTGCGCGAACTTGGCCTAGAATTGTATTTGTGGACAAACACATAGCTGTTTCGACAGTTGTTTAGTGACATCTGTCATGTAGGAGTTTCAACCAAGTGGGGTGTACATTCACGTATGGTTCCGAAATTATTGGGCTTTGTAGAAGTGAAATTGGTGTAAATTAACAAATTTTAGAAATCAATACAAATTCACATGATTGCGTCATATTGACGTCGGTTTATTTCCCATGTATATCCCATACGTGACTATATACTTACCATACCGGAAGCGTGTTGGGGCTGGTATCCTGGGATGTGGTGCCCTGTTTAAACTAACCAAGAAGATATCCCCATAAAAAAGCAAGGTAAGATTTTTAAGAAATACTTATCAAATTTGAAATTGATGCAATTTTGAAGGAAAAAAAGTCAACACTAACAAAAATCAACAGTCAAAGTTGACTTCATTTGAGGCCAAAAAAAAGCATTTGTGTTTCTTTAATTGGTGTTTCCTGTCATGCAAACCAATCTTTTTCTTTTCACTAGCATTTGACATTCTGGGCATGCTAAGTAAGAGGGCAAAACAGTAAAACACAAAACAAATAAAATAGCTTTTGTATTTTTAATCCATAAAACTTTAGAAATACACAATTTGTGGACAAGATTGGTGTGCAAAATGTACTTTGAAATTTGACCATTTGAATGATTGTTTTCTTTTGTTTGGGATTAAAAATCTGTCAAGGTGCAAGCTACCACAGATGAGAAGGTTACTGGAGAGAAGAGGGAAAGTAGTGATGAACCAACAAATTCAGGGGAATCCGATCGTCAAATCCCAGGTGAGCATCTGAGTGCAACTAATGGATTATAGACAGCAAAAGGAACATCTTTAAAAAAGCCTGAAATTGTTGTGGGATATTCGTCAATGAACAATTCCTTTTCATTACATAAATAGTGCTCCTCAACTTGTGTACATTGACGTGTATTCTAACTTGTTACTTTGTTTCTACCGTGCCACATTTTATGTAGGGGACATCTACAATACATCCATTTCCAGTAACTTCACTGTTTAAATTCAGTTCAAATTCGAAGGGTACCATGGGTGCATCCATTTTTCATGACTAAGTACATTACATTACTTTACTTTTATATCTTTGCCTGTTTATGCTAAACAGGTGACGACATGACCATCGGTTTGGGTTTGCATCCGTGCTGCAGACGTCAGTTTGTCCTGAAAGGCAGTGGGTTCTGGATCGACAACTCACTTCTCCTTCGTGAATGGCAAGTCAACACTTCTCTCCTCTATAATCAGAATCTTTTGAGGCTCGTTGGAACCATGGATCCTCTACAAGGATAAACGACTTCCCCAAATTTCTGGCTAGATGCGTCATACGGCACTTGTGCATGCGCGTGACTCGGCGCACAACTGCAGTCTTTCAGTGGTCATAGTGCTACATGTTCTATACATTAATTTGCGCGGATGCGGCATATCATGCATTTTGACATCCGTTCCTTGCATTTTGTACACAAGCTCAGATGAGTCGTTTATCCTTGTGTAGAGGATCCGTGCTGGAATAAATGGCCATGTACTACATAGCCACGCGTCGTTGCCATGTCTGGCTTTCCGAAAGCCTGGATGAAGACATTCCATTTATATTCCCACAATTTACACAAGAACTGCCGTTGGCACAGGATCTGTCATTCCCAAGAAATTTGAGGGGAAAAAAATGGAGCCCGATCATTATGAACGTGTAGAAATGTTGGTATACATGTGTTATATATGGCCATGTTTATGGGTCGAGGTGGAACCCTCATAAAATATATTAATCTGGCCAACTTGAAAACAGGTAATACCACAAGTCATGCAATGAATATATTAGTTACTTATGACTGGTTACCAGCTTAGTTTTGATCTGTTAGTTGCCTAAAGATTGCTAGATAATTTACGAAACCGGGATCTTGCGTCCATTGTTATTTGGGATACCAAGGAGAACACCAAGAATAACTAAGAATACCCTCTAAGATGGTCACTTGACATGAGGTCTACTCGTGCTTATCCCTGGGGCCGTCCGCCACAGCCCTCCTCCCCCCCCCCCCCCCAACATGGCTCTAACTTTGTTCCTCTTCTCCTTACAGACACCTGTCGTCCCAGTTGGTGAGCAACATGAGACAGTATCTGGCAGGCCGCATAACATGGCCATGCGCAGCAGCACATATAATGGCAGGAGCGGTCTGGAACCCTGGAGCCACCGTGCAAATGGCACAAATCCAAAGGTGGGTCCTGTCTCACGACGTCGTCGAGATTATTGGTCTGTGGCCGACAATGAAGTGGGTCTAAAGGAAGAGGACTCGATCAGCCTCTTTCACTTTAGGAGCATGTATTGCTGGCCATAATAATCAAGACAGTCTTATGGGCTCTGTGCACAAACACAAGAGGGCGCTTTTTCATCACTTTGGAGAGCCCTGTGGATGGGCCATCGTGTGCATGTACTAGTTCACACACAGCGCGAAGTACGTAAGACTAATTTTATTGTGAATGTGCAACAATGCTATAGCGTCTTCACACAAGCGGCAGGCGTCTTGAGCAATGCATTCAAATGTATCGTCCAGTGGTCTCCCCCAACTCTCCATTTCTTACCGTTGAGGGGGTACTTGTGTTCGGAGCTCATGGTCTGCCACAATGAACAGATTTTTTCCTCAATGTATTAAAAATTTGCTGCAAAATGTTTCTTAAAAGTCAATTGATTCTAGTGTAGGCCAACTGCATGCACAAATTGTTGAAGTTATCAAAAACATTACATTCCCTTAAACGCCTTTTTTGTTGTAATGTTTGCTGGGATGGGGTGCCTTAAAGTTGGTTGATGCGAACTACACGTTTTAAAATAAAATTTACATTTTTCATTTCATGTAGTTGGGATCGGTGTCTTTGGTCATTTAACCCCACAAATATCCTTGTCTTTTGGATAGTGATTATTTAATAAACACTCTACCCCCAATTCCTGAAATATTTACTGCAAAATGTTTCTTATTGCCAGGTTTAATTTATTCGTAATGCATTTCATGCCTAATTATTGAGGTTACAAAAAAGCCATACTCTTACATGTAATTAGTTTTGGATTTTGGTAGGGAAGGGATGTCAAGAAGTTGGTTGACACGAACTACAAGTTCTAAAATAAAAAATGTACACATTTCATTTCATGTAGTTGGGATCACTACCCTAAGTCTCTGTTTCCCTCACAAAAACAATTGTTTTTCCCCAAGTGATCATTTAATTTAAATGAATTGCAATTTTGTTGTCTATTTTCCCAGGTGTGAAAATTAAGGTACGGAGCCTGTCGGCCGTGTGGCATGAGGTCACCTCTCCATCCATTGCCATAGAGGGCGCTATTCGGCACGGCCCGCGCACACCAGAGATAGTTGAGTTAAGTTTTCTGAGATGTCCAACAGCCATAGAAGGCTCTTTAATGCTATCTGGTTTGTTGCCTTAACCCACCCCCTCAAAAATATGAAAACGAAACAAGCCTTTAATAAATGAAATTTTGAATTCTATGAAATTAAAGATGATATGCTTAAGTAGTTTGTGGTGTAGCGCATTCAAATTAAACTCATGAAAATTGTTTGAAGCAAGTGAATATGTCCGAAACTTCTCCGTTTTGTTTTACCATTATTTTGTTTGTGAAACGAGGACAGACAACACATATTAGAAATTTGAACCAGACTGCAGAAACTGATGTTGGACACATTTCAATTATAGCATTATACTATGCACTTTTATGGCTTTGGACAGGTACCTTCATTGAATTGTATTTGAAGTCAGTGTCTATGAGACAGGTTACCAACCTCGTCTCCAGCTATATAACCTTTTCTCCAAATGTTCCATGGTTATAAACACGATGGTGAACTTCACTTTTCTTGAGTGATTTAGTTATACTTAATCTTGCAAATTTTACTGGAATCGTTAAAACACCACCCGACCCTCAATACCAGTGCTTAGGGCTGTCCGTTTCTGAATAATTTAGTATTTGAATATTCCAAACTGCAGTGAACGAATATTTGAATATTCGAAACTTGCCGATCAAGTTTTACACACGCCAGCTGCAGTTGCCTTCCTCACTGGTCAAAAGTTGCATACGAAGCACGCAGGTTACAATTTGCATGTGATGATCGATATTATGGGCCACTGGAGTTCTTTGCAGTTAGTACTGTATAACTGACAAGGAACTTCAGCTAAAAGACCAAATCATGATAGGCGTCGACAAAAAAAGTGGCATTAGACAATAAAAAACGCAAATTTACGAGTAAAATAACTCCAGAGTCGTGTGTGCACCTGCACGTACATAGCTTTTCTTTTTGAATATTCATAACTTACATTATTCAAATATTCGGTTTATGATCTAATATTCAATTATTCGGTATATATTCAGGACAGCTCTACCATTGAGAATATTTGTGTTGAATTTTTCTTTTCATTTTTCGGGAGCAAGAGTTCCCCAGGACCTTTACTGTGATTTTCGTTTGCTTCTGAATTTGACAATTGAAATAAATGATACTGCCATTCGACTACAAAATTTGTCCCCCTCTTATTTTTGTATGTTAATGAGACCCCTCCAAAACTTTAAGCAAGTATTCAAATAAGATGGTTCCATTGTGAGGTTAGAGGGGTGATCACTTTGATGCAAGGCAAGTAGCCGGTTTTGTCTTTTGATACCAAAAACAAAATGACGTAAAATAATTCTTTGAATGCAAAACAAACGTGTCACACTTGAAATGAATTATGTGTCAATTTCACAAAGGTGTACGAAAGCAGAAAGACCTCAAAACAAATCAGGGATTATTTCCGAGTTGAACAATTGTCAGTTTAAGATGTTTCGTTAATATGCACATTACAGCATTGAATTAAGGTCATTAAACCTGTTTGACATTTGACCTCTGTTGTCTGGATCATAGTTTATCAATTTAAAATTTAATTTCATAGCGTGTTCTAAATTAAATTATACGGCTAACTCTATACACCCTTGCACACTTCTCGCTGTTTGAGCTCAAGACTTTTTAAATTCATGTGCATGCTTGTAGATCTATATGATATAGATCTCTCTCATAGGGCGCCATCTTCTTAAGAAAATTACAACTGCATATTCAACGCCATCAGATGCGTGCGCGCGCAGTTTGCAAAAATGTTCTAAACATGTGTGCGTGTTGCTCGAAATGTCTTCTAATTGTGGCGCAGCCGATGCGCATCACAAAAATTTGACGCCCAAAATGCCAATGCACGTAGCAATCTGTCGTCATTTGAGAGAGACCTATTGGATGAAAAGGTATCAATGCTATCAAAAGCGTAACGAACATTGCTGAAAAGGTGTTTTATCTGTGAGTGCGGTGAGAACAAAATATCTTTACATTCCAAGTGGTCCACAGAATGAAAGGAAATTCTCATTTTTAAATACTGATTGTGCATTCCTATAAAAACAATTTAAATGATAGTGTCAATCTCCAATTTTCAAATATTGATGTATTTGATGCGCACAGCTGGAATATAGAGCCGCTTTTCTACTCGCCAAATCCAACATATGAAACAAGTCTGAAACATTTTCTGCTTGTAATTTTTGGTGCTAGGCTGCTTCAACTAAATGCTCTTAATCCCCCCCCCCAAAAAAAAATTATAAAAACAATAAAATAATGCAAGCAAACAAATAATACAACTTATCACTTAAAACACACACAAAAACGGGAAAATGTCAATGACGGTGGTGCAAATTAAAAAAAAAAAGGGCAACCCCCGACCAAAGTTACAATCCCAAATAACATTTCTAACTGAAGTTATCATCCAGAAACTAAGCTACCCGGACGGACGGACGCATGCTCGGATAGACGGTACCCTTCTTGCCTCTTGGCTGAGGGGTAAAAATGAAATCAAACAAATCTAAATAATAATACAACTAAACACTTAAAATACACACAAAAACAGGAAAATGTCAGTGACGCCGATGAAAAAAAATAAAATAAATATTAAGTTTTTAAACCCAGACCTTCTGTTTGCCTTCGTTACCACTAAATCCTAACAGCACTAAAAATAATAAAAAGTTACCCATTTACTGATTCTGCTCTTCAAAATTGCACAGGAATTGCACTTTTAATTATTCAGAAACTGAGAAAAATTCCAGGTTTTGGAAACACCATGTAGAAATATAACAATGTGAAACCTAGCTAACTACTGAAAAAAACATTCAATTTGCACCGGCACCAGACTATCATGTGACTTACCTCGAAAAAGCGAGGGC